TAATAATAATAATAATAATAATAATAATAATAATAATAATAATAATACAGGTATAGTCCACAACTTATGACCACAATTAAGCCCCAAATGTACATTGTTAGGTGAGAAATTTGTTAAGTTGGTTTTGCCTCATTTTATGACTTTTCTTGCCATATTTGTTATGTGAATAATTTCAATTAAACTAGAAACACTAACAGGGAAAGGGGGGAGGGGAAAGAGAGCAACACACTGGACCTGAGTGAAGCCTTCACAATGCACAGTAACTGGGACTGATATCTATGTCTATCGATTTAAGCTGTAGGAGCGGACCTGAGTGAAAACTTCATAAGCAGTCACTTGTAACTTGAAATGGGGGGGGGGGAAAGAGGGGAGAGAGACTTTAGTGAAGGAATCTGAGCCCAGGCCTCCCTGTGAAGCAAAAAGTGTGATGTGTGTGTGTGTATGTGTGATTGACTGTATATATGCATGTATATATGGAGATACATGTGAATAATACAGAACAGCAGATTATGTAACTTATATCTATATGCTTAACTCTACATGAGTGAACAGTTCATGGTGCACAAGTAATTTATACCTTAAATGGGAGGGGGGGGGACAGAGAGGGAGGGGTGGGGGGGGAGAAAGAGAGCAAACACTGGACCTGAGTGAAAACTTTACAACGAACAGCACTGTGGCTGATGTCTGTGCCTATCTAGTTAAGGTGTATGAGAGGACCTGAGTGAAGACTTCGTAAGACTCCCTCCTTTTATAATTTGACCTGGTGGGAGGGAGGCGGAGAGAAAGAGCGAGGTTGTAGTGAAGGGACCTGAGCACAGGCCTCACCCTGAGGCAGAAAGAAAGTAGGAAGAAAGCATGTTTGGGTTTGAGCGAGTGAGTGTATGTATATATATGGAGATACATTAACAAGCAGGACAGCACAGCATAATACTGTTACTTACATGTATGTTTACATCTATGTGAGAACCTGAGCGAAGACTTCATGCTGCACAGTAATTTATATCTTTAAATGGCGGGGGGGGAGAGAGAGAGAGAGAGAGAGAGAGAGAGAGAGAGAGAGAGAGAATGCTGGACCTGAGTGAAAACTTCACAATGCACAGTACTGGGGCTGATATGTATGCCTATTTATTTAAGCTGTATGAGAGGACCTGAGTGAAAACTTCACAAGAAGTTACTTGTAACTTGAAATGCGGAGGGCGGGAAGGAGAGAGAGAGAGAGAGAGAATGAGACCGATTGTAGTGAAGGAACCTGAACCGAGGCCACCCTGTGAAGCAGAAAGAATGAGGAATTGAGAGAGAACTTCATGGCGAATAGTAATTCATATATTTAAGTTTGGGGGAGGGGAGTGATGGAGGACCTGAGGAAAAACATGGCTCTAGTCAAGACTTCACCATGCACAATGTTGTAGCTTTTACCTGTGCCAGTCTTGTTAAACTGTGTGAGAGGACCCGAGTGGAGATTTCAGAAGCAGTAATTTACAACTTGAAATGGCGGGAGAAAAGAGAGAGAGAGAGAGAGAGAGAGAGACTCATGGCGCACACTAATTCATATCTTCAAATTGGGGGGGGAGGGAAAGAAAGAGGGAGGGGGAGAAAGGTTAAAAAAATAGAGCAAATCTGGACCCGAGTGAAGACTTCACAATACACAGTTACTGGGGCCTATATTCCTATCTACTTAAGCTGTACAAGAGGACCTGAGTGAAAACTTCACACATAAGAGTACTGGGACTTGTATCTAAGCCTATCCATTTAAGTTATATGAGAGAACCTGAGTGGAGACTTCATAAGAAGTCACTTATACTTTGAAATGGGGGGGAGGGAGGGGGGGAGAGAGAGGTGAACCTGAGCCCAGGCTTCAGTGTGAAGCAGAAAGAAAGTAGGAAGTGTGTGTGTGTGTGTTTGATTGAGCGTATGTATGCACATATATATGGAGATACATTAGCAAACAGGACAGCACAGCAAATTACTATTGCTTATATCTATGTTTAAATCTATGTGAGGACGGAAGATTTCACGGTGTACAGTAATTTATACTTTTAAATGGGGGGTGGTGGGTGGGGAGAGAAGGGTGGACCAGGAATGAAGACTTCACAATGCACAGTAAAGTGGACTTATGTATTTAGCTCAGAGAGCACCAAGGACCTCACAGCCCTCCCTCCCCCTCTCTGCAAACCCCACTCCCTTCTAGCCCTGATGACATTACCTAGTTGGGTCATGAAACGTTTGCAAGGAAACCATAAGCTCAGAGAGCGCCAAGGACCCTCCTTCCAACCCTGAGCTATTTATTGACAATGTTGTAGGGGGCGCGGGGCAACAACTAAAAATGCCTCATTTCTGAGATCGTTTCACCACTCCTCTTGAAACCGGCTGGAGGCTGGATGGCCCGGTTCCCACATGCAAAATGCTGCCCTTAAAAAGTAAACCGGGCGCTAAACCCCACTGAGAAGAGGATGCTGACGGTTATTGCTATTTTCCTGCAAATGGTACACAAAAACGACTTGGAGCTTTCCCCGGGAACGGCACCAGAGAGTGAATTGGTGACTCAGCACCCAGGCAGCCTCCCCGACAAAGAAACCTGGCTGATGAATTACCAGCCGGTCCAGTTTCCGAAGCTCTCAACCTCAGCTGCGATAAACTCAGTCAAGTGGAAACTCGTAGCTGCAGTATTATCTTTCCCATCGCCCTGCGCCCCAAACCCCAAGGTTAGGGACTCCGCAGAAGAATTTCCCCCATCCTAAGGAGGTTTGGCCTTCAGGTGCCCAAATTGTGGCTCTGCAAGCTGCTCGCTTTGACGCCCCCAAATCAGGTACTCCTCGACTTACGGGCACAACGGCTAAGCAAGGAATGGGGGGTGTGAAGGGAGCCTTGCATGATTTTTATGATCTTTTTGCCGGCAGTCGTTAAGTGGATTGTGTTGTTAAGCGGATCCAACGTTCTCCGTTGACTGCTTGTCAAGAAGCTGGATGGGAAAGTCACAAAAGAGGACCAGGTGCTGCAACAGGCATAAGTCCATGCCAGTTGCCAAGCACCTGTATTTGGATCACATGACCATGGGAGAAACCGCAATGGTCCCAAGTATGAAAAACGGTCATAAGTCACTTTTGTCAGTGCCGTTGTAACTTCGAGCAGTCACTAAATGAAGGATAACCCGTATCTCAACCGCCCATTAATGCCTCCTTCCGCCTCTTTGCCCTGCTTGGAAGTTAAATGGATTTGAAAAATAGCGAGGAATACAAAGATCCTGAAATAGACAATAGCCAGAGAGCTTTTTTGGAGGGGGGTCTTCGCTGGCGTGCTTAGAAAACAAACGTGCCAGGTGGGCTCAGGGGATGCAGCCCTCTGCTCGGAAACCTCTACCAATCCAGGTGAGACATAAAGGTGATAGAGACTTGCTGAAAGGCGCGCAGAGGGTTAACAGGGAACCTCAGCATTTGGATAACAAGCCAGAATTTTGTAACTGGCCCGTTGGACCCAACCTGGCGTTGGAAGGATCCAGGTCAAAAGGTTGCAAAAATGTAGCTCCCCCTTTCCCGTCTCCCAGGCAAACAGGCCTGGTTGCAAAAAAGCAACTCAGAAAAACTCTGCAAAAGGTTATTTCCAGAACAGAGTCAATGCAGTGGCTATAAAAACAGGAACAATGAATTTCCCAAAGGGCTGAGCTTTCATTTCAGCCAAGACTTGCACCGAATTGCACTGGGTGTAATGCAAACAGAGGAACAGCACTTTCTGCCTTACTCTTAACTGCTGCCCCCCCTCCCTCTTTCCAAAGATCACCCCTCCCCCACTTTTTTAAATTCAAAAGGAAAGCAGCTAAAAAGGACTGAATGACTCTGTAAAAGAGGGAGAAATTCCTTTTTAAAAGTATATGTAGGTATGCATAAAGATATTATATATTACAGTATGTGGATATTACAAAAATTATATAAACTTGTAAATATGCATTGCAATTTGTGCATAAATGGTAACATAATATTGCAAATATATTGTATATATGTATGTATGTGTGCATGTGTGTGTGTGTGTATATATACACATATAAATTACTAGTTACATTGCATATTTTATTTGTATCCCTCTTTATTCTTTATAAATAATTCAAGCCAGCAAACATACCCAATACTCTTTTATCCTATTTTCTACACAACAACAACCCTGTGAGGTGGGCTCGGCTGAGAGTGACTGTCCCAGATTCTATTTATCTGTCAGTCTCTCTCTCTCTCTCTCTCTCTAATATATATGCGCATATGTATGGGTATATATATTTATATATATGCACACAAATAGATAGTAACCTATATAAAACTGCAAATATGCTTTGCAATAAATATATGTATTAAGAAGCCATACAGCATTGGAAATATATATTACGGTGTGAATACACGTTAAATGAAATATAAAATTACATTGCTGTATCATAAAAATATAACAGCCCACCAAATATACATCGCAATAAACAAAACCTTGCAATTTCATCCACAGTTATCATCCCTGAAGCTGCCTGAAGTTGTGACATCTTGAAAATCAGAAGCGATCTGCAGTAAATAATTTGGACGGCAACTCTGAGAACCATCTGTCTGGAGGCATCTATAGCATGCATTTTTTTTTTCTCGCAAGATGCAACAGGGAGAAGCGGAACCTGGTGTGGTTTAATGGCTGAGCAAGTCGAGAAGAAAAGGAGAAACCTGTTTTGCTTTCAGAGTCAACAGGAGCAGGATTGGCTTCCTGCTTGGACCTGGCGTTTATACAAGGTATTCAGCAGACACATCAAGTCGCCTTATTAGCAAGTCAGAAAAGAGCCTGACTGGGACATAGATTTCTCACCAGATAATAGATTAGATTAGATTAGATTAGATTGGTAGGTAGGTAGAAGATAGGTACATAGATGATAGATAGGTAGATGATAGACAGACAGACAGACAGATAGATGGATGATAGGTAGGTAGATGATAGATAGATAGATAGATAGATAGATAGATAGATAGATAGATAGATAAATAGATTTTCTCTTCTTGCAAACCCCAGCCATGTTTCATTCTATATCTTTATAATTTATTTCTTCTTCAATGGAGCCCAGTCTTCGGGAAATGTCCATTTATCTAGCAAGCAATGATCCAGTGATCAGAAATAACAGTCCCATCCTTTGGAGGATCAGGTACAACCTAGATGGACAGCAGATTCTCTTCCAAAGGACCAGGTTGTGATATTCCAGGACATTTTTACTGCCTCTCTTTTTTTTTTTCTCCCCCAGGTTTGGACTGCAAGGCCCCTTTCCGTTTGAGATGCTCCCGCTCCAAGGTTTGTTTCCCCTTGGGACGGCTGCAGCCTTTGGGAAAAGAGGCCTTTACGAAGACACCAGCCCAAACCCAAACTAAAAAAAAAGAGAAAGGGATGCAGAGTCCAGCAAGGTTTGCACAGTCACCACCTGGAGTCTTTAGGAAATCCTCAGTTGCCAAATGCAAAGGAGGGCCGGGTGATGGCTTAATCCTTGGTGGCGAAAGCAGCCAGCTGTGTGCAGTGCGCACTGGCCGGAACACAAAGGAACACAACAAAAACACAAAGCACCTCTCTGTGTATTCATTCAGACAAGCAGGGATGCATAGGGGAGGCTCCAAGGCAGGTTTTGCAGGATGCCCACACCCCATCACATCCTGGTTTTAAGCCTGTTGGGATGCTCCTTTGACGGCTGACCTGTAGCATCATCCGCGTAGAAATGGGAAGCTCGCCCTTTAAATCCATGCAGGCCTCAGTTCACACAACCCCGAAGCACGCAACCGCCCCAGCCAACCAGCCAACTGCAACCCGACCCACCCATCCATCCATGCATCCATCCTCCCTGGCCTAGCCTAGCATGTTGCATTAAGTCAGCTCCCGGGTTGGGAAAGGAGGGGGAAGGAATGGTAAACACGACGAGCTCTTTCGCCTTCCCTTCCCACGCTTCTCTAGCACTCGGGTGAAGCAAGCCAGCCTTGCCTTCCTCCTCCTGCATCTTGACCTTCCTTTGCAGACGCGCGTTGGACTCGCAAGTGTCAACATCAGCCAAGCTACCCAAACATGCCCCCCCCTTTCCCTCCAGCTTCACGCAACGGCCCGAATTCAGACGACCAGGCGGGGAAAAGAAGCGATTCCCCCGCTTGGCAAGCACCCCCCGATCCCGGATCTACCTGCACCGCCCTGGTGAAGAAAACACCCGCATCCGAGGCCAGTTTCTTCATGTTGAAATCCATGGCGTGGGGAAAGCGGCGAGGGCGACGGCTGGCTGGCTGGCTGGCTCTCCCCGCAGCAGAGCGAGCCGGCTGGGTTGGGCTGGCGCTGCGGGCAGGCGAGAAGGAGGAGGAGGAGGAGGAGGAGGAGGAGAGCAACGCCAGCGAACGGCCGCCAGGCTCGAGCGTCGCGGAACGCCCCGCCTCGCCTCGCCCCGCCAGCCAGCCAGCCAGCCAGCCCCTTAAAGGCACCCAACCCGGGCGGAGCTGTCCAAAGCCGCGCGTAAAAAGCGCAGCCTCTTGACGCACCGTTCGTTCGTTTGCAATAGACTAGAGAATCAAGAAGAGTTTGGAAGGGGGTCCTAGAGGTCTTCTAATCCACCCCCCCCGCCGCCCTAGAACATTTCAGATAAATGGCTGTTCAGCCTCTTTCCAAAGCCTCCGGTGACTGAGCATCCACCATTTCTGGAGGCCAGCTGTTCCACTGGTGAATTGTTCTCACTGTCAGGAATAACAGAGTTGGAAGGGACCTTGGAGGTCTTCTAGTCCAACCCCCTGCTCGAATAGGATACAATTCGAGATATACATACAACACATACAATTTCGGACAGTGGCTGTCTAGTCTCTTCTTGAAAACCTCCAGTGTTGGACCACTCACAACTCCTGGAGGTAACTCTTCCAACTGATTAGTAGTTCTGACTGTCAGGAAATCCCTCCGTAGTTTTAAAGCCTGTTTTCCCCTTGAGATTAGTTTCCATCCGTTACTTCTTGTCCTGCCTTCTGGTGCTTTGGAGAATAGCTTGACCCCCCTACTCTTCTTTGCGTCAGGCCCTCAAATATTGGAAGATGCCACCATGTCACCCGTCGCCCTTCAATTCATTCAACCAGACACCCCCAATTTCTGCAACCGCTCTTGGTAAGTTTCAGCCTCCAGTCCCCTAACCATCCTTCTTGCTCTTCTTTGCAATGATTAGTGAGGCGGGGAGAGGGTCGCCCTCTGGTTGCAAAGGGAGCAGAGCCCTGGGAACGTGTTTGGCAACCTTGCCTAAAGGTGGATTTAAAGCCACCAGCTAAAACCAGGTTTCCTGTCTTGTCACTGGCGTTCAGGTTCCAGGCTTGTGCATCTTGCAAAAGTAAAAATAAATCAGTTTATGGTTTGTCTGGTAGGAAGCCAGAGATAAAACCTTGTATTCCTATTTTAATTTAAAGTGCAATTAATATATTGTTCAAAACAGACTTCTCATTCAAATGAGGGCGGAAATGCATGTTTCTATCCCTATTTTTATTTCATGCCCCCATAACCTCTTAGACAAGTGCAGAAGGCATTGTCCCTTTAAGAAGAGCCCCGCCCCTCCGCTTTCCACGTCGCGCCGGAGCCAATCAGCTCTAAAGCCACGCCTCCTTTTCCCATTGGGAAACAAGGACGCCGCTCTGGTTGCTCAACCGCCCAAGATTGTCTTGAGGTAAGTAAGGTAAGCGACCAAAGGCTGGCTATTGGTCCGCTGTGAGACGGGGTGCCCTTTCAATTGGCTGAGACGGCTGTCAGTCTGCGGTCTCACTTCGGCGCTCCGCCCCCCTGGGCGGAGATTAGACAAGCTAGACTGAGCGGCTGCGATCGAACCGGGAAGGAGACCCTGTCCTTCTGCAGCCATGGCGAGCGGAGCGGTATGGTGAGAGCTCCCCCCAATTTGGAGAATGGTATTGGCTACCTGGCTTAGGTCAGACGGGCGGCGGACTCTTCCATTATGGGTTGTGGGGGTGGTGGTAACGTTTTAAGATGACTTTTTTCTTGCATAGCCGGCTTTCTACCGGAGCTGGGAAAGTGAATCTCTCCCAAACAGGCGCCTTGCGTTGTGTTACAACTGCTTCCCCTGCCATAATTGATGCGCACCCGGCGGGTTTGCTGACAAGGGTAGTAGCAAAAGTGCAAGGTGTGCAAAACACACGCACCAGCCGGTTTCGCGTGTGCAAGCCCTCTCGCCCCCGTCTCCTAGAAAGCCGAGCTCGGTGCATGCTAATCAGGTGCGTCTCTGAGAAAAGAAAAAAGGAAAAGTGCTTAGCTGGGGAAATGAAGAGTAGAGCTTTCAGGTTCAGGAGCAGTCTACCTGGAATGCCATTTTTTGGGGTGGTTGTTGCATGAGTTGGATGCTTCAAGCCTGGCTTTGCAAGGAAACGTCTTTTAAGCTCACCTGTTTGCCTGGGGCTTCTCAGCCAGAAGGGACAGGAGGAAAAAAAACCCTGAATAAAAATGTTCTGGAGGAAGAATCCTAAGCCAGAAAGATTATGGTATTTGAGTGACAGTTTTGTATCAAAAACTTCCCTTGGGTTACACCAAGCTTCACTTTATCAGTTTGGAGGAACTGGCTGGACCGGATTTTTGTAATCAGGGAGCAAACCAGAAACTTTCTCAAAAGTCACGGCTAATTACGTTCAAAATGATTTTTATCCATATTGCGCATAAAACACCCCATTCTGAGCAACGGGGAATTGTTGAAATGGCCCATTTCAAACTGGGATACTTGTGAGAATTAAGACATTTTGCAGGAGGAAGGGGTATTGGATATCTTCGCTGCCTTGAGTTATTTGTAAAAAGTACTAAAGGCAGGATGCAAATATACACAAAAGTAAATAAAATTGAGTTGGGTGACCTGATTTACGACTGCCGCAACTTAGGGCCCTGATGGGCAGGCTCGTCGTAAGTCAAGAACCAACTGGAATGAGATGGATCTCATACAACCATAAACCCTGCTGGTTTTCTTCTGGGATTTCTGTAAAATGTTGTAAATAAATCTTCATCCAATGGGGTTGGTTGGTCCTGAACTTTTAACCTGATCCAACATTTTCGTTCTTCTGGTTCTCCGGTTTTGTGTCTTCTTCCTCTTTGAGTTTTCCACCATTTTTCCAACTGTTTTTTGTTTTTGGCCTCTGCTCCAGGAAATAGATGCACTTTCGGAGGCTAATGGTAGGATCCTGCGTGACGCTGGACTGCTGTATGAACAGCACAACCTCGCTGGCGACAACCCAAGCCCATTTCCAACATGGCGTTTCAGAGGATGGAGGGCATGTCCATTATCCGGGCTTTGGCCATGACCGTTGCAGAGATCCCCGTCTTCCTTTACACCACGTTTGGACAGGTAAAAGACCTGAAGGCTATAACAGAGAATTGACACATTTGATTATTCATGTTTTAACTGCAACTAGAATTGTATTTGCTCAAAATTGGAAAAAATGAGAAAATTCCGATAGAGGAGGAGGTGATCAAGAAAATAGAAATGAGTAGATTAACATTAGCAATTAGAGAGCAAGAAGAAAATGAATATTTTTAAGATATGGAATTTCTTTTACCAATGGTTAGATGGAAAAGTAGGAAATTGAAGTAGAATACAATAGCAATGATAGGTTATAATTGATTATTATAGAATGAATTATAATACGAATTAAAATGAGTAAGAACTGAGATTTGCTCTAAAGGATAATGTGGATCTGAAATTAAAGTCTAATGATGATGTAATAATATAATATGACATGGAAAGTTGATTAATGTAATGTGAATGTAAACTTAATCTAAGAGGAGAAAAGACTATAGATATTGTGCACAAGAAATAGGTACCAACCGACGCACTGTGTAATTGAAAGGTTTTATTTGTTGTTTTATGTTTGTTGTTAAAAATGAAAACAACTTTATTAAAAGAAGAGAGGACAGGTAAAACACATTTAGGGTGAGAGGTGTGATAAGTGAGCCTAGGTCAGGGGTCAGCAACCTTCAACACTCAAAAGAGCCATTTGGACCCATTTCCCACACAAAAGGAAACACTGGGAGCCACAAAACCTGGGTGGGTGTGGCCAACTCAATGCCACTCCCACCCAGTCATATGACACACACCTGCCTACCATACCTACTCAGGTTTTGTGGCTCACTGTGTTTTCTGTGGGAAATGGGTCTCTCTCCCTCCCATTTCTGCTTTTTGTGTTTTATCTTCTCAGGCGTGGCGAGGAGTAACTGGGAGGGGAGGGCGGGACCAGCCAGTGTTGGGATCACCCAACAGGGAGCCACAGCAGAGGGCTCAAAGAGCCGCATGAGGCTCCAGAGCCACAGGTTGCTGACACCCGGCCTAGATGCTAAAGTTGCCTTGTTTTGCTTCTCTGGCTCTTCAAGTCGGCCTTCTCTGCGTTGAGGATCACCCCCGGTCTACGGAAGGTGCTCTTTGCCACGGCTCTCGGGACGGTGGCTTTGGCCTTGACGGCGCACCAGTTAAAGCGGCGACGGCGGCGGAAGAAACAGATCGCTCCAGAGAAGTCCAGCGCCAAGCCTCTGGTGGCTCCAGTGCCCATCTTACCCACCTGCCGGGTTCCCTCCGTGAAGAAAGGTGATGACAGTCAAAGCTTTTTGGCCAGGCATATTTTTGAACATGTTGGCTAACCTAGCAGGTGGCAGGTGCCATCTATAAAGCATTTTACATAAGTTTTCTTCATACAAAGGTGCCATTGTTCATTTATAATTTCTTCCCCACATATATTTTGCCTTTTCTCTAGTTCTATATTACGCGCGAAGTGTTTTGGCCCCCGTATCGTGGTTTCTTCTACTTGTTCATCTTCCATTTTCAAATTGAGTAGAAAGTTATATAGTTTTCTTCATCGGTTTTTCACTGGAGTTCAACAATATCCGATCGAAGATTGTCTATTCTTTATAAAAGCTATACATTTTCTCATCTTTAGTCGATTGTATTTGCAGTTGAGGCCACCATGATAATTCAACTTCCTGGTCTTCAAGATCTTGTTTAGATTTTAGTTTTCCTTCGGAATTCAAAATACCTTTATAGGTCTACATTTTCTCAAACGTCACCAGTTTTGGATGAACAAACACTTCCATCGTTGAAAGGCATCCTGGTTTTTTTATTGATTGATTGTAAAGATTTTTTTAACATGGATTGGTAGATTTATTTCTTATTCCTTTCTTATTCACTTCTATCACACCTTTATTATTTTTATAAGTGGCAAATATGGCTGTTCCTCCTATTTTCCATGAAACAACAACTTTGTGAGACATTGGGAGAGAATGAGTAGCCCAAAGTCACTCAGCCGGCTTTCGTACCTAGGGCAGGACTAGAACTCATACTCACCTGGTGATGGGTTCATAGTCACCCAGCTGGCTTCTGGGCCTTAGGTGGGACTAGAATTCACCATCCCTGCACTGATCGGCTGAAAGTCACCCAGTCGGCTTTCATGCCTAAGGCAGGCCTAGCGTTGTGCACTACAAATTTATTTATTTTTCTTTCTCTCTCTCTCATTTTCGTGCATTTTTTCCTAATTTCAGGTTATTCCGGCCGTCGGCTGCAAAGCCCCAGCAGCAAAAGCAATGACACCCTCAGTGGGATCTCCTCCCTGGAGCCCAGCAAGCATTCCAGCTCTTCGCACAGCCTGGCCTCCGTAAGAGATGCTTGGGGAGGGGTCTTTCAGACCCACCCGGGAGGGGGAGGAGAAGCAGCTGTGACAGGTAGTCCTTCCTACAGTTCACTTAGTGCCCAAAAGCTACAACTTCATCTTACGACCATTTTTCAGATTTACAACAGTTGCAGCATCCCCAGGGTCAAAATTCAAAACACTTGGCAACTGGCATGAACTTATGCCTGCTGCAGTGTCCCTGTGTGTGTGTGTGTGTGTGTGTGTGTGTGGTGATCGATCCCCTTTTGCAAAATCAACAGGGAGGGCCAGATTCACTCAACAGCCTTGTGACTAACTTAACAACTGCAGGGAATTCACTTAACAAGAAAATTCAGAAAATGGGACAAAGCTTGAGAAGCGTCGCGATTAGCCAACAGAAATTTGAGGCACAATTGTTGTACGTCGAGGGATCCCTGAAGGCGAAGACGCATGCATGTTTTGTGCCACAGCCTTTAGCTAAAAATACTTCCTCTGCTGCAAGAAAATTGCGAGTGGAAGATAATTGCAAGTGTTTTGGAATAGTTCAAAATAGGGAGCATTTTTGCCCTGTGGCTATTTATACCTGGATCCGGTGCAGGATAAATACAGTGGCATTCCTTCTTCTATAAACAACTGTGGAATGACAGGCTGTCTGTCTGCAGAAAAAAAACATGTTTGGAAAAGGCAAAGAAATACGTGGAGTCCTCAACTTAAGACACCCTCCTCCCCCTAAAATTATGTTGCTAAACTAGACATTCCTTAGCTGAGTTTTGCCCCGTTTTATGAACGTCGCAAATATGAGCTCTTTGCCAAGTGCCCGGATTTTGATTACGTGACTGAGGGGATGCTGCAAGCCGTAAGTGTGAAAAATGGACATAAGTGCAAAACAGCCCTGTCCCTTTTTTCAGGGCCACTGTTGTAACTTTGGCCACTAAAACAAACGGTTGTACGCCGAGGACTACCTGTAATCAGGTGGAACTGAGAAACAGCTGAATACCAATTCATGTTATGATAGAGCAGTGGTTTGAAGGTAACATTAGAATCCTAGGAGGGCTGGGACTTTGGAGGTCATCCATCTCCACCCCAAGCGCTTAACCAGATAAACGGAGGTGAAAAATTGTCAGTGGCAAGGATCACAGTGAGAGGGGAAGGTCAGATCGAAGGCAATCAACGATGCAACATTTTCCTGCAATTTTTTCACCCCCCCCCCTTCAAAACAGCCATCACTTGATTGGCTGGAACTGAGAGGAAATAAGATTTTAAAGCTAGCGGGAATCAGACAGCACCAGAAAACCATTGCAAAATATAACTTAAGACTTGCTGTAATGAAATTCAGGTTTAATGCCCTCATAACTCTAGCTGTGGTACATTGGTGCTAAAATATTAGAAGGGTAACATGGAATTTATTTTGGGAATGCTCTGTTCTGGCTAACCCGTAATATGCAGTCTTTGGTTTTTGACTAATTGCTTAACTGGGACTTCAGCCTGTTTGTGAGTCACTGCGATACTTGACCTCTAGCACAAATTTTTGTGGCGTTGGTTAGTTGACTTTTTCACCAGTGCTTGCTTGCTCTACCTGAGATTGAAGTGGAGAGGCTGTATTTTGGTCCTGTAGCTTGGAAAAAAATCGCCTGTATTTTTTATTTCTGTTTTCTAAGCTTACTGCCTGCTGTTTTAAGTAAAGAAGGCAGGATGGGCACTTTAAAAACCGCATTCAAATTGGATTGCTTACACGCCTATTTTCTCTTCTTCCAACACAATTCCTGCCTTCTCTTGGTTTAAAGGGCAGCTCAAGTTGGCTTTTCAAAAGATTAAAAGGTCGTTTCTTGGGTTAAACATTTTCCCAAGAGTTCTCTCCCTGAACATTTCAATTTTATGTGGTCACAGGGTTGTTGTAGGGAAATTAGGAAGGAGTCTAAGGTATATTCAGGGCCTTGAGTTATTTGTAATAATAATAATAAGGCAGGATACAAATAAGTACTGTTTGAGAGCACTTACTGGAACATTTGAGGGGATTGACAGATGATGATAATCCTGTTTTCGTGGGATTTTGCTGGTTCTCATTCTAGATGGCGGTTGTGAATTCTCCCAGCCCGACCCCTGCTGCTGCACCCCCCTGGGAAGCCCATATGGGAGGAGAAGGCCCTGGTGCTGCTGGAGACTGCAGTGCAGAAAACCTCTATTTTCAAGGTAAAAGTGTTGCCAGGCTCCCTCAGCCAGCATGGGTGGCCTTCAACTCCCAGAATCCCCCAGCCCAACAGGCACCAGCTTAGTGGGACGCTGGGCGCCAAGAGGAGAGGCCCACATCTAGTTATTGCTGGTCATTTGGGGGTTCTCTCTTCCTTGGCAGGCATGGAGCTGTTTGAAGAGGCCCTGCAGAAGTGGGAGCAGGCCCTGACCGCCCGTCAGAAGGACCCCTACAGCCTCTCTGCCTCTTGGGTTGTCCCCAAAGCGGAAGAGCTGCTGCCTGAAGATCTCTGTGAGGTACAGACCCTCCAACAAACGTGGGTCTCCTGCAAAACATCTAGGAGATGCTGCCCCATAGCTGGTAAAATCTAGGTTCCCCTTAAGAGATGACTCCATGGATACAATCTGCAAGTTTATTTTCAGGATCATTTCCTGGCAGACTGTCTGGGTAAACCATTCAGGAACGGCAACCAAGTGGAGCAAATTCTACTTTTCTTGCAAAGCTACGTTAACAGAGGCTTAAGAACTCCGTTCAGGAGTTTGGTTCTGGAAGGCCACTGAAGCCTCATTTTAGGTCTGCCTGTTTTTGCCGCAGGAATCTCAGAAAAAAGAATTTGCAGACAAGCTGGAATTGCTCCTGTACCGGGCGTATAACCTGCAGGAGGAGTTTGGATCCAGTCTGTCGGCTGATAACATGTTGCTCGATTTAGGTGAGGAGCTGGTTTGCTAATTCTGGGAGAAACGGGGCTTTGTTCTAAGTCAAGATCAAGGGGGTCTCCAAAGCTGGCAACTTGAAGATTTGTGGACTTCAACTCCCAGAATTCCTTAGCCAGTTTAATAAAGGAGAATCTTTGTAGCTTGCGGGGTTGACAGGAGGGGTCCTTGGTGCTCTGTGAGCTTGCTTATTTTCTTTCAGAGGCTTCATTACCCAACTATGTAACATCATCAGTGCTAGTAAGGAGAGCTATTTGCTGTCAGTTTATATTCTGGTGTCTTGGCTGTCTGTGTGGGTGGGTGGGGGGGTCAGAGATTCTTTGGCTGGGCTGTTTACTATTTCTTTTTACTATTTATTTTTACATACAATAAATCCATTTCAATCGTGTGTCAATTAGGTACATATTTCATATGCTTGCAATTAATAATAATACTCTTCTTGTCAATATAACAATAATCACATTGCCATATAAGTAATATCCAATATATCTATTTCACAAGCTTCTCTTGTTGCTTTATAAATGCATCTAGTCCATTTTAATTTATTTTATTCTCTGTAACCATTGGTAAGACAAATCCCATACCATGTAATATTCACATTTTTCTTTTTCTTTAATTTCTAATGTTAATCTCTTTTTCTTTAATTCCTAATGTTAATCTTTTCATTTCTGCACATTCAAATATTTTTTTCAATTACTTCTCCCTCTGTTCTTATCACTTTTCCGATCGGTTGGGCTATTTACTGGTGGCTCTTTGGCAGTTCCTTGATTGGGGTGTTATCTACTTGATTAGTTGCTCTGATGTTAACCTTGGAGTTAATCTATGCTGATCTGGGTGCTGATTGCTGGTGGAGAGGCGCTTGGGTCTTTAATTAGCCATCAACGGACACATAGACATGAACAATAGCTACAGATTATGCAAAAGAGACAATCACCCAACCCAAAAAGGAACAAAAAAAAAGAGTCTAGCACTGTTCCATCAGCAATCAGCACCCAGATCAACATAGATAACTTCAAGGTCAGACCAACACTCAAGAACTAAACAATACCCCCAACCAACAAAGTGCTAAAGAGCCAACAATAAACAGCCCAACCAAAGAATCTCTGAAGACCTCCCCTACCCACCCAGACTGGGCAAGCCCCCAGAATATCAACTGAGAACAAATCTCACTTCTTACTAGCCCTGATGATGTTACCTAGTTCAGGTAAAGGAACATATGCAAGAAAACAAGCAAGCTCAAAGATCACCTTTCACTCTTACGTTACAATTTTATGTCAACCATTTTATTTCCATTGTATTTTATTTGCACTGAGATGGTTTCTAAAATGGTTGGTTTGTGTTTCAGAAGGATGGCTGTCGTATTCCTGGTTTTATGCTGCCGGTGACCCAAATAAACCACTGTTACACCTCAAAAAAAATTTCTTTTCTTTCTTAGAGCAAACTCTGATGTTCCCACTGACCGAAGAGTCTCTAAGGCGTCAACAAGATGATGAAGATAGTGTGACCTCTGAGGAATCCTTTTTCTCTGCCGCGGAGGTAATTTGAATCCTGCACCTTGTTTTTCCTTGTTTACTTATTATATTTCTATGGCTGTCCATTTCTTAGAACGACGTGGCTCTTAAATGGCCGGAAATTTCCTGGAAAACATCCTGTATATCAATATTCAAGGTTGAAGTTTCCAAGCAGTCTCCTAGGACTGCCCCAATTGAAAAGTCTTAAGATATTTGTAGCCAAGCCTACAAATATCAGGCTGTTTTTGCTTGGTTTCTAATTGTGATAATGTTTTTGATGAGCCTCTTGGGGGGCCTCTAATGTTTTAAGAAATCTCATGGTTTCTGCTTTTCTCTCAGATCCTTGACTCCCTGGAAATGGAGAAGACGCCCTACCAGCCTTCTAGGCCAGCGGTTGCCTATGAGGAAGCATTGCAGCTGGTGAAGGATGGACTAGTTTTGTGCAGGACCTTTCGGTGAGCTTGGGGCAGGTGGGCCTTAGGATATTTCTCTTCCCCTGGTGGCAGTCAAGGTCATCACGGATCTGATGGGCCTTTGGGTTTTTCATGGAGGGGTTTTAGCTTGTTGCTTATTCTTACTCCTTATGTCAAACTGAATGTAGCCAACACAACTTTCGTTAGTTAGACACTTCCAGATGTATCAAGGGCATGGGTTTCAGAATTCCTAGTTGTTGGTTCTATAGGTAAGAGAATTCTGGGAGTTGAAATCCTGAGGTATTTGGAGGATGCTGAAATCACAGTTCTCGGAGTTCCTGATTCATCTTTCAGACGTTGTTATCACAAGGTTGGGAGGGCATCAGGTTGGGAAAGCTGGTCCAGATGTTATCTATTCTCCTCACCCTACCCCGCAAACTTTCTCCTCTTCCAGCACAGAGCTTTTGGGGTGCTGCAGCGATGATGATTTCCTGGCAAAGCTTCACTGCATCAGACAAGCTTTTAAGGTGGGTGCTCTGGAGATCTTGGAAGTTAGTCCTCTCTTGAGGCTGATCTTATCTGGAGACGTTGAAACTGTTTTCCTCTGGAGATCTTGAAGGTAGCCCTCTCTCTTGAAGCTTGTTTGCTCTGGAGACCTCAAAGCTGGTCTTCTCTAGAAAGGTTGAAGCTGGTTCTCCCATGAAGCTAGTTGTCCCTCAAGGTTTGGCGCCAGCCCTGCCTTGGTGCCTGTTCTTTCTGGAGTCCCTGAATCTGAGGAAGGGCCATTTGGGAGTGGAAGGATGTTGTCTTTACGGCTGTACCTTGTCCAGAAAGAATTGGCTTGGGTGCAAGTCCCTGTGGAGCTTCCTGAGAGTACATACGAAGCTTCCCAAGTGCTGAACTTCAACTCCCATCCAAGGCACCGTGGTTTCTAATGGGTTGATCTCTTCACAGGAGCTCTTGATGGTGGACAACAACCAGACGTTTTTTGGGGAGGTGGGTAAACGGATGGTGATGGGGCTGATGACCAAGGCTGAGAAGGTAAGGGCCAACTATGAAAGGGTTCTGTGATTGTGCTGAGAGGAGACTACATGGGTCTCCAAAGAGGTGGGTTGGAACCTACCACAGGGTCTGCTCAGTGTGGCGTGACAACTGTTTCTGCAGTAACATCTTGAGATCTTCTAGTGGTTTACAAAGACCTAAGTCTTTGGGAGATCAGGCAAACTAGATCTGAGGGAACCTCTGGACTTCATGGAGCTGACTGAGAAGCAACAAGGAAGTCTGGCTGGTTTCACCTGCTGAGTTTTGGGTTGGTTTCCTCTGGTTTCTGATCTTCCAGAACACAAAGGGTTTTCTTGAAAGCTACAGTGAGATGCTGCACTACACACTGAGACAGGAGACTTGGCCAACTACGCAGAAGGAACTGGAAGGGCGAGGGGTAAGTGTCGGGCTTCTGACAGGGACCTTGTCTTCTCTCTGGTCCTGCTCAAAGGAACCACAGGGATTTAATTGGAAGTTGGCAGAATGAGGGAGGCTTTGCTGCGATTTGAGTGAATAAACCTGGACAGTCTCTTTTTGTCCACCTCTCAGGTGGTTTGCATGAATTTCTTCGATGTCGCCTTGGACTTCATCCTCATGGATGCTTTCGAAGATCTGGAGAACCCGCCGTCCTCAGTCGTGGCCATCCTGCGTAACCGCTGGCTCTCGGACAGCTTCAAGGAGACGGTGCATTTTCGGGGGGGGGGGGGGGGGGGGGGGGGGGGGATGGGAGCCAATGCTGAGTTCCCAGTTCATGGCTGTATGTTGAGGACTGCCTCTCTTAGTGGCTCTTACGGGAAAGGCGAACTCAATTTATAGACGGGAGGCAAAATGACCTGTTTTCTTTTCATTTCAGGCTCTCGCCACGGCTTGCTGGTCAGTTTTGAAGGCCAAGAGGCGGCTCCTGATGGTACGTGAGATTATTTGGGATGGCAGGATACCGCCTCCAGCTCCGTTCTCGGCGGGAGAGACAGAGAGAGAGAGAGAAAGAGAGACTTTTGGCTTCATGCAAGGAAAGCAGCAGAAGCAGCAGAAGTCTTTCTTTCTCTCCCCCAAACTTCGCCAAAAATGAGTCTTTGCTGGTGCAGCCTCTTGGAGGAGGAGGCCTTGCAGGGTCCCAAAGACTCATTTCTGGCAGAGTTTGGGGGAGAGAAAGAAAGACTTTTGCTGCTTTCCTTGAGTGCAGCCAAAAGGAGAAGAAGAAAGAAGCGGAAAGAAGCAGCCTGGTGGCCAAGCCAGGCACTTGGGAAGAGTGGGGCAAGTTCCCCCCCTCCGCTCTTTGCCCCCTCCCCTCACTACCTCATGCTGTTCGCAATGCAAGCAACGCAAGCCTTGTGTTCCCATGCAGCCTGAATTAATTGCTTTGGGGGGGACATTTCTCTGCGGAGCACCACAATTTTCGTGCAGACCACCAGTGATCCCCGGCCCACTGGTTGGCGACCACTGATCTAGCCTGTTCCTCGGTTCCTTGCAGGATCTGCTAAGCTTAGTGCAGTTTTTGTGTGTGATATGTGTGGTTTTGTTTTTTAAATCAAAAGTGGCAACTGATCCATCTGTTCCTGCTCCGTTTCTGTTTCAGGTTCCGGATGGTTTTATTTCTCATTTTTACTCCGTATCGGAGCACGTCAGCCCTGTCCTGGCTTTTGGCTTCCTGGGGCCCAAACAACAGCTTTTTGAAGTCTGCAGCTTTTTCAAAGTAAATCCTCTTTTAAAATCTCTCTCTCTCTCATATCTCTCCGTCTGTCTATCTTATCTATTCTCTCTCTCTCTCTCTCTCTCTCTCTCTCTCTCTCTCTCTCTCTCTCTCCAGAAGAGTTTAAGATGGCAAAAGATATGCAGTCAGTTAAAGAGAAAAAAAATCCTCATGTGATTTTTGTTTTTAAATGGCTCGAAACCACAAAGTCCTGGCAGCTCATCCTTATCCCTCTTCCTCTCTTTCTTTTAATATGATGCGATGTGATACAGCCAGGAGATTGCCAGGGTGAACAGTCTGCAAAAAAAGTGAAGCAAAAGAATTATATCTGTGGTCTACACATACATTTATAATATTTTATATTTGTATACTTCGTGTTTTCATCCCCTCGGTGTTTTTATCAAAATGTGAACGTGCCGTAGAATGAATAAATAATCTTTCTCTCTCTCTCTCTCTCTCTCTCTTTCTCCAGCACCAGATTTTGCAATATCTGAAAGACATGTTCGACCTGGACATTGTAAGGTACACAACGGTGACCTTATTAGCCGAAGACATCCTTCAGCTCTCACGCCGCCGCAGTGACATCCTGCTCAGCTACTTAGGAATGGAGACCATTCCAGAGATCAATGGGACTCTGCAAAACGATGATGTTTCCTTCAGTAGCGTCAACTAAACCTCCTTGTTCAGACAAGACAGTTTGGAGCTTAGGAATGGGTTTGTTTTCTCCTTGCGAGAGGAGACTGGCTTCTGTAGTTCGGAGGCTGAAGATGGACGGCAGCAAAACATTCTCTATTTAAATTGTCTAACTTAAAAGCAATTTTGAACGGTGGTTCTCCACCTTGGCAACTTTTAAGAGAGGTGGGCTTCAAGTCCCAGAATTCTTCCGAATTCCCCAGCCAGAACAGGGAGTTCTGGGATTTGGTCCACCCATCTTAAAATCGCCATGATTGAAAAACACCGATTTAAAGGCTGTTTAACAGCCCCAGATGTGTCCAGCATTATCCAGGCGGGAAGGTTTTGCCAGTCAGCCATGCCTGTTTCTAGTTATTTAATACTTGCCTAAATTGTGGCCGAGCCCCTGTCTAATATTCCTGTTGTGAGATTAGTGCACAAGGACACTTTATTCCCTGTGACATTTGAAAAGAAGGACAAGTGGGGGAGACCTGTAGGGACCTTTTGCTCCTTTGATTTGGAAAATTCTAATTTAATTTTTTTTTTTTAACTGAATTTACTTTATTGTGTCTATATCAGCATTCTTCAACCTTGGCCACTTGAAGATGGGTGGACTTCAACTCCCAGAATTCCCCAGCTAGCATTGCTCTAAGATGTCTAGACTTCTGGAATGCTCTAATCAGCATGCTGGCTGGAGCATTCTGGGAACTGAAGTCCACCTATCTTCAAGTGAAAAACACGGGTCTGTATGTACAGCCAAACTTTTAATAACCTTTCTTTAAAGATTCTTGCATGTATGATGGTCTCAGATGGAAGACCCTCTATGAAGGAGATGGATGAGGAAGGAAGGAAGGGAAGGGAAGGGAAGGGAAGGAAAGGAAAGGAAAGGAAAGGAAAGGAAAAAGAAAAGTAGGTTGGATCTCACTATGCCTTCTGATAAGGATCAAGTATTTCAGTGAAGTCTTGCAAGAAATGTTTACTCTAAACACCAATTGGCTTGAGAGCTTATCCACTTTAATAGATGAGATAAACTTCCAATTTTATTCTTGTCTCCGGCATCTTTGTAGCCATATTCCAAAAATCGGGAATTTTCTCTGTCAATCTGAATGTACCTTCTTCTCCCAGCAATGGACGGGAGTTGAATTCAAAACTGCCCGACTGTAGATTTTGCAGAATTGAAGTCCTGCAAGCTCATAAATAAATGTTTATTTATGAACTTGCAAAACTTCAATTCCGTCAAAAATATATTTATTGATGAATTTCTCCATCAATCTGAAGGCACCTTCTTTCTCCCAAAGATGGGGTAATTGGAACACAAAATTCCCAACTTCCTGACTGTGGATTTTGCAGAATTGATGTTCTCGACTTGACCTTGTGGCATTTTGTTGGCCACGCATTCATTGATCCTGAATCAAGAAGGGGGGTAGTGAGATGTAGTGATTGCATTAAAATGATCCTGAATGCAGCATTTGGGGGCCAGATTGGATGAAGTTAAAAAAAAAACCCAGTCTGCTTAGGGATGGTGGGATGCAATTCTGAGATAGTCTTACTTTAAGGGGTCAACGGAAACTCCCAAGCTTCCCATGGTAGCCCCCCTTGGGTGGGAGGACAAATGAAATCCCACTGGGTAAGAATGTTCCATGTTGTAGATGCACTGAGATTTTTCAACAGGGTGGATTACGGTCTTTAGAGCAGTGTCTCTCAACCTTGGCAACTTTTAAGGTTATAAGGACTTCAGTTCCCAGAATCTCCCAACCAGCATACCTATACTGGTTGGGGAATTCTGGAAGCTGAAGTCCACACGTCTTAAAAGTTGCCGCGGTTGAGAGACATTATCTTAGACTGCTCATTACACTGGCTAAGGCACTTTTAAATCTCCTTTTAATTACTATTATTGAAGCAGTTGAGTTGACTTTTGAACAAGTCAACACTTTGAGGCTGAATTGTTGAGTTTTCCATACAACATGGACGAAAGAGTTTTTGCTCTTTTGCATCTTGGGTGTTTTAAGGGGAAATATTTTAACTTCATGGGTATTTCTTGCAACAGGTTCCAAAGGCAGCCTTTTATATCAACTCTATAACAAATTATAGTTTTGAATTGAGAAACTATGAATGTTGAATGGGAAGGCTGGAACTTAAATATTTGTGTTAAGTTTTAGCTTCTCTTGATTTGATCTGGCTGCCTGTTGTTCGATGAGACCTCATTTCGAACTATGGCAAGGAGATTAATCTCGCCCAAGAAAAAAACTCCCAATTTGCAAGGACAAATTCAAAAGTACAATTTGGTCATTGCCACAGTTGTTTCCTTTTTTTAATTCTGAGGAGCAATGAAGAGTTTTTTAGAAGCATGAGAATGTATCCAGAATGTAGATCAAGTGTCATAATCATTCCTCCCGGATTTATACTGGTTTTTGAACCCTGCTCCGAAGTTGAACGTTTGCTCCAAGGTGCCCCTTGCATTCCAACCCATACAAGTCATGGATTAACGGTCTTAAGAAAGCCATCAACTTGTCACGCAACTTTTTGTGGTGCCTAATTTACGCTGAAGGAATTCCCACGGAGTCTTCAGTTGTTGGGTCCCAGCAGTAGCCGGCAGAGTTCCCAACCATCATGGGCACCTTTTCCTTCAGATCTGGACATTTTCAGCCTGGGAAAAGTTGACTTTCCCTGCCTGCAAATCAAAGGGTGGTGGAGAGATTGTGATTGTGTCCTTGGATATTGCTAAATCCTAAACATCATATGTCCATGGGAAGTTGGGGGGGGTGGGGGAGGGAGAACAATATTCTGGGAACTATATAGTTCATCAACATCTAAAGCAGTTTTTCTCAGACTCGCCATCATTTAAGATGTGTGGATTTTAACTCCCAGAATTCTGTAGTCCGTTTGCTGGCTTGCAGAATTCCAGGAGTTAAAATCCACACATCTTAAATGATGGCAAGGTTGAGCAAGTGTGATCTAAAGCCCCGGAAACCCCTTCCTTTTTGTTAAAAGAAGAGGAAAATTCAATTTCAGAGAATATTACCGGAATATTACATGGAAGGAGTTGAATGGAATTTTGTGCCTCATTATTTTGGTTGTTTGGACTTTATTTCTTTCTCCCTTTCCGCGATGTTCTTATGCTTCTCATTCCCCTTTGCAACTAATTTTTTTCTATCCTATTAAAACTTTTGGCACTGAAAAAAAAAATCAAATAAATATTTCCTTTATTATTAAACTGGTCCAGAGTGTTCTCCTTTTTCCACTCTTTCAATTTAATGGAAGTGGTGGAGATTTTTTTTTTAAAGCTGTCTCCACTTTTGCGTGCGCTCCCATTGAAGCCCATCATCCACTAAACTTAACGGAAGTGATCCCTTACACTAGGAGAATGTATAGGTAAAGCTTCTTGGTTTCTCTCCTTGTGCAATCCAGCCAAGCGGATCTCATTAAATAGAATTTCTGTTTCATTTTATCGTCTGCATGGTCTCTCCGGACTGATGGCGATGAAATTCTTACTTTGATTTTCTACAGTGCCATCTCACGTGTGCCCATTTGTATATTTACTGGATTAATTGACCCCTAGTTCAGCATTCTTTTTTTAAAAAAATGACACTAAATATTTCTGGCAGACAACCGACTTTTTCCCATTTCCATTGGGATCAATAATATGATAGCTAACAACCCAAAGTAATTTGCTTTTATTGTTTCTGCATCTTGTTTTCTTCTGCTCTGTCCTGGCTTGGCTTGCCTGCTAATTGGATTGCGTATCTCCGGGGAATTGATCTTGTGCACATGGTGCCCGGAAGAGAGGATGAAAGGAGAAAAAAAAAGAAAAGAGAATTTTCTTCTCGTTTCAAATCCTTGAAGTCTTTGTGTGGTGTGAACACACACAAACACCCCCCCGCCCCCCGTGTTTTACAAGGATGGAGGTTTCTCTAGCCCACTCAGTAAGCTTTTATTTTGTGCAGGGTTATTGCAGAGCTTTGAAATAGGACTAAAATCTCACGGTTTGAATGTTTGTGTCATGGCTGTACAGATTTTTTTTTTTAATGAATTCACAACAGATGGAGAAGACGCAAAGGAGGGCAGAGCTTTTGTCCGGTTCAAATTGACAAAGCTCAGAGATCAGAGAAAAGGAGTTTTTATTTTATTTTATTGATATATATATATCCCGCCTTTATTATTTTTACAAATAACTCAAGGTGATGAATATATCTTAATATTCCTCTTATTTGGGGGGAGTCTTTAAATGGTTTTAAGTTGCAAAAGTTGGGAAGAGCACCAGCACTGTGGTTTGTAAAGAGGACTTAGCAGGTTCTTTCAGACTAGCTTAACTGTGGTTTATTCAACAATCTAGGGTTAAGGCATGGCTAGAACAGGACACCATCTGGCCCATAATAGCCCTGAGTCACAACAGAGGCTGGATGCGGCCCCACAATGCACCGCGCTCCCATTCAATCGCACCTCAGCCCGCCATCTATTCCCGAAGATCTGATTGGCTCTCAGCGGGAGCGCGCGAGGAGGGAGGAGAGGAGGCAGCGAGGGAGGGAGGGCCCACCGAGCAACTTCTCAGTTGGCGAGGTGAGCCAGCCAATCGTCGACGGCCGCTCCGCCCCGCTTCTCCTGCCATTGGCTTTCTCATCTACCTGGGCCCGGCTACGGACCGGGCCTTTGTGATTGGCTGCTTGATTCCAAGGGAAGGACAGGCCGCGGGGGTGTGGTAGTATTCGAGGATTGGTGGGAGGCCACACCTGGCGAGCTTCCCGATTGGCCGAGCGGGCCACGCAGGCACGCCCATTGGCCGCCCCGCCCCGTGTGTGCCGGCCGATTGGCTGTGGCCGCCCGGCCCGGTATCCGGGTAAGATGGCCGCAGTCGGAGAGTGCTCGATCCCCGTTCCGTGGAATTCGGTGTCTCTGACTCACGTCGAGTACCCGGCAGGTAAAAAGCGCTCTTTCTTCTTCGCGCGGGGCCTTTTAACTTCAGCCAGGCCTGAGGGGACGTGAGGCGGGAGGTGCCAAATGGTGAGCCATTGATGAGCGGCGGACGGGCGCACATGCGCATTGGGGCGGCGACGCTGCTGCTAGCAGATAGGGAGCCGCTGGCTGCTGTAGTGCGCGTGCGCGGTACCTCCTGGGCTTTGCTTTGGTAGTACACAGCCTGGAAATTGGGGCGGGGGTGCCTTTATCCCTTCCCCCCCTCCATTGCAACTGCTTCCCGGGTCTTTTGCAAGCCTCCCTCTCCCCCTCTCCCTCAGCTGTGGAGGTGGGCTTGATTGGGCTGTGCCCCCCCTTCCCCCAGGACAAAGCACCCAGTTTTGCACACTTTTTGGATTTCGATTGGGAGCCGCCCAAAGTTGGTTATAAGATGGACAGCTACAGGAATATTTTAAATTAAAAAAAAAAAAACAAGTTATTTCTTCCTTTCCTCCAGGACTTCACCCTTGTGAAGTAAGTTGTGCCAAAGGAGCAGGAGTTTCCCCCCCCCTCTCCAAATTGCCAGCCAGGGCTCAAGGCTGAGGATGGATTTGCACCCAGGGCTTTGCTGTCCTGGCCAAGCGTTTTGTGACTACGATCCCCAATCCCCTTTGATGTGTAAATGATGATGATCTGTTTCCTTTGCCAAACATGCAAACTGGCTTTGCACAACCCTCAGGCAGGTTTCCTAAAACCCAGCAACTTTGCTCACCTAATGTGCTGTGCCGGGTGGTAAATTCGTGCCCAGCTTGCTCCTTACAAACTGCTAAAAGATGGATATTAAGTGCTAAGAAAGGCTGGATTCCTCAACCCAACCCAAACTCTGTAGTTAAACCAAACTGGCAAAGCTTGAAAATCAACCTGGTTTTGTCGCTTGTTTGTTTAAGCCTGTTAAAGTTCAGATAGTACAAGCAACACTAAATCCGTTTGAATCCTTCTTTATTGCAAGACTCTTTGCAGAGTTTAGCTCAAGAGAATGGGCCAAATCGACACGACACCCTGAACCACAAAGTAGCCTGCTCAGTTTTCACTTCCATGTACCATTAATACCCCAAAGATGTTTTTGCAAAAACTGGACTTCCTTGAAAAGATGTCGCTCCTTGGATGATAGGGGAACTTTTTCAAGGAAAAAAACCCCAAGAAAGTCCAGTTGCCTTTTGAAAAAGCAGTTTTGGGACAATAATGACCTGAATTAATTGAGAATCTCCATAGAGTACTTGTGGTTCATAGTTTGGAATCAAATTACTTGAGTGAACTGAGGAAACCGAGGTTCAGTTCACTGATAAATGTATCGGTGTAAGCCAGGAATTTGCTTTCATGGATAAATGGGAATTTGAAGCCGTGTCTTCTAAACTGTTGCCCAACCTGGCATATTTTACACAGATTGGATTAGCACTGGCATTCCTCTGATTGTGTCCACACTTGTCTTCTCTTCCTTTTTGGAATTCCTGATGGTTTTAATGCCTTTATTAATCTGTATTTGGTGTTGCAATGTTGGATTCAGGTTTGCTTCTGTTATTGGATTCATGCTGTATCTTATCAGTAGCAGAGCTAAGTCTGAAATGGCGGGTTACAACACAGCTAGCCTTCTAGCTTTCTTTCTTTCTTTTTCCCCCCAATTTATCTTTAAGCTTTATTTGAGAGGTCGCCAGATTTGGAACAAAGCGGCAGAAGGAGGGGTAGAGAGAACTCACATCTCTTGCAACCTGCTTTATATAACTGAAGTTTTGTTCCCTCAAGTAAATTAAATAAAAAATATCCCTTGCCTTCCTTAAGATATTAGCCCTTTTTGGAGAAAAGACAACCAGAGATGGATGGAAACAGAAGAGGTAGTTCTTGACTTATAGCCGTTCGTTTAGTGACTGTTTGAAGTTGCAAAGCCCTGAAAAAAAGAGACTTATGTCCATTTAACAACTGCTTCGCTTAGCAGCAGAAATGTTGGGCTCCGTTGTGGTTGTAAGTCAAGGACTTACAATCTGAGGCGTAAATACGGTCAAACTGATCTGTTTTTGCATCTTGCCTCCGGGGCTACCAGACAGGAATAGTCTCTGAGGCAGCGCAGAGTGCCTTTTCTCGGCCAGCTTCCCAAATCAGACCTTCCTGTCGGGCAAGGGGTTTTTTTTTTGTAACAGGGAGTGGTATTTCCGAGCAGAGCCTACGTTTTGGCATCCTTCAGGGTTTTTTTTTTTCCTTCCTTTCTAGGCACTCAGTCCTGTGGACGATAGGCAGATCGTGGCAATAAAGCACATATATTATTTATCTCCTCTGATATTTAGCTGCCTCCTCTCCTGTTTCCTGAATGATGCTGAGTTACTTAATGCCTGCAAGCTGCGTTCGAGTCACTGGTTGTGTGTGTGTTTGTCTCAAGTAACATTAGTGGGTCGTCTCATTTTGAGCTTGATGTAGAGATGGGAGTTTTTAAGTGCCTTCCAAGAGGTTCTACAGACCCCCGCCTGGCTTGTCTTAAAAGAGAAGCAAATTTGTTCTTGGTGCTCTCTGAGCTTGGTTGTTTTCTTGCAGACGGTTCATCACCCAACTAGGTTACATCATCAGTGTTAGAAGGCAGTGGGTTTATAGAAGGAAGGAGGACTGTGGGGTCCTTGGTGCTCCCTGAGCTGGGTTGTTTTCTTGCAGATGTTTCATGACCCAGCTAGGTAACGTCATCAGTGCTGGAAGGGAGGGGGGTTTGTAGGGAGGAGGCGACTGCCAAGGGTTCTCAATGCTGGAGACAGACACCCTTTCAGAAGTTGCCCTACCACTTGGTTGGAGTGAAACACCATAGGATATTTCGGCAAGGAGACAAGCTATTTATTTTCTGTGTCGCTCTGGAAACATCTGCAAGAGAACAACCAAACTCAGAGAGCACCAAGGATCCCATAGTCCTCCTCTTCCTCCTGGTCAGGCATCGGGCCGCGGCATGCCAGAAACCAGGCCCTGCAAACAAACGAAGCCCCATCCGCGAGATGTAGGCAGCGTGCAAAACCGGGTCCCCCTCCGGTCCGCAGGAAAAACCCTCTCCACGGAACCTAGTGCCCAAAGGTTTTGCGGCCGCTTGATGTAGGCTACCTTAGGCCAGCAGTTGCAAGCCGTTGTGTTTCGAGGGTGAAAAACAGACAAATTGCACCTTATGTCCCTGTTTCTCTGCTTCCTGCAAGCTGAAAGCCAAATCGTTGGCCAAATTGACGAGCGGCTGGCTATTCAAGAGCACTTTCGTAACCTCAGGAGGGAACAAAAAATAAAGTAAAATACCCAACTCTTTAAGTTCTAGCTTCTCCTTTTCCTAGTTTGCTGCGAAGAAGGCTCCCTGCAGCCGCCGGATAAATTCAGCTGCCAACTTAAAAGGAAGCTGCCCTGTGGCTGATTTGTTCCCAGGGGCTGCATCATAATTAATTTCCTAGAATTAAAGTGAGGTGGACCGTAATTCACCAGGAATCTGGTCCGGAGGCTTCGTAAAGCACTCCAAAGCACGCTTTCTTTCGTCGCATCTTCTGAAGTCCAGTTGGCATTAGGTAACACACTCTGCCATCCGTAGTATAAAGCCACAGGATCTCATCTATTTTTTATTTTTAATGTTTTTACTTTAAGTTTAAAAACGAGTGACAAAAAGGGTTTCCTTACTGCAAAAAAAGTTTGTTGAGCGCCCGTCCAATGTTACAGTGGCACTGAAAAAAGTGACTTGTGACCACTTCTCACACTTAGTGACTGTTTCAGCATCCCCAGGGTGACATAATCAAAAAATTCAGATGTTTGGCAACTGACTTATATTTGTGATGGCTGCAGTGTTCCTGGGGTCACGTTTTGCAACCTTCGGACAAGCAAATGGGGAGGCCAGATTTATTTAACAAGCATGGCAGGAAAATGGGGCCGAACTCACTTAGCAAATGTCTCACTTAACAGCAGACGATTGGGGCTTAAGTGTGGAAAACGGTCCTGAGTCGTTTTCTCAGCATGTTGCAAGTTGGAACTGTCCTTAAACGAATAGGTTGTAAGTTGAGGGTTACCTCTGACTGCCACTGAACCCGGCCCTCTGAAAGGCTGAGCGTGGCCTCAACTTTCTCACGTCCGAAGCATCTGCCACAGGCTGCCATCCGAGAGGAAACGGTGGCCGGGTGGCTGGGGGAAGGATGTGGTTTAGTTTCCATTCATTTGACGCGCTTCATGTCGTATTAAGGCAAAGCTCCTTACTTGTTAAATCTGATTTTAGGGGGAAGCTGTATTTTTTTGTCTCTCTTCAAATCTTCCCATGCATAAAGGAGAGTTGTTAGGATTAACATGTTTTTATCTCTCTGCGTGTCATAGTAGTTGAAGCTAGGTGGATAAAAGTGGTGCTCCATCGATCTTCAAAACTTAGAAGCTGGTACCGCATCGGTGGAGGGATGGGTGTGAGTTTTAGACTGTTGCCTTTTTATTGGTTTCCCTAAAAGAGCGTGTAAGCATGGATAGTTCCCGATCTACAACTATCGCTCAGTGTCACAGCGGGGCTGAGAAAAGTGGCTTGTGTCACATAGCAGCACAAATTCAGTCCAAGAAGAGAGAGGGGTTTGTGGAGGGGAGGACTGTGGGGGGCCCTTGGGGCTCTCTGAGATCAGTGGTTTTCTTGCAGACATTTCACGACCCAATTAGGTATCCTCATCAGTGCTGGAAGGTAGCACTGGGTAGATGCTAGCTCCCTTGTAGCACTGATGATGTTGCCTCGATGGGTCCTGAAATGTCTGCAAGAAATTCTGTAATCTTTTTCTATGTGATATTCTATAAACTGTTTGTAACCCTCTTAAGGGTGGCGTCTCCTTTCTCCTACTTGTTTGGGAGTTGAGGTTCCTATTTGCAAATATCTTTAATAAACCCTTTTACCTATCCTGCTTATCAAGTCTGTTATTTTTATACTTGCTTCTCTCAGCCACCAAGGTTAGAAAGCACCAAGGACTACTTCCTCCTCCTCCTCCTCCTCCTCCTCCTCCTCCTCCCTAGCACTGATGAGATTACCTAGCTGGGTCATGAAACAGGGGACACCAGGGTCCCCACAATTCAAGCCTGAGTGACAAATCTTTTTTCTTCTGTAGAGTCTTGGAAAAGCCTTGCTGCTCAGCCACCCTTCTAGAAGAATGCAAGTTCTTTTCCTGCACACTCAGATCTCTCTTTCTGTCTCCATCCCAGGTGACTTCACTGGCCATCTTCTCGCCTACCTTAGCCTGTCCCCTATCTTCATCATCGTGGGCTTCCTCACCCTCATTGTCTTCAAGAGAGAGCTCCACACGGTAAGTCACCCTGCGCGGGTCACTCTCTCAAGACCTAGAGCACAATCCCCCATCAACATCAATCCTCAAGCATCAACAAAGACAATTAGAAGGGTGTGTGTGTGTGCCATTGTTATTATATACACTACAATGTAAAGTCACAGTTGCCGGTCCTTTAGGTGGTGGTGGTGGCCTTCATTCACATCGAGTTCTTTCGAAGGACTCTTATAATCTACAGGTTGTCCTTGATTTAACGACCATAACTGAGCTCAGAGTTTCTGTTGTTAAGCGAGACAGCTGTTAAAGTTTGTCCCCTTTTATGACCTTTCTTGCCACGGTTGTTAAGTAAATCACTGCCGTTATTAAGTCAGGAACACGGTTGTTAAGCAAATCTTGACTTTGCTTGCCAGAAGGTTGCAGAATTTGATCACATGACACACTCATCCACCCACCCCGGGGAACACTGCAACCGTCATAAATACCATTCAGTTCCCAAGCATCCAAATTTTAACTGTGACCCCGGGGGATGCTGCAGTGGTCGTAAGTGTGAAAAACGGTCATAAGTTACTTTTTTTTAAGTGCTGCTGTGACTTCGAACGTTCAACTCAAGGAACTGCTGTAAGTCAAGGACCACTTGTAATCCCTTGTGCAGTCTTCACCCCGATCTCAACCTTCAGTAGAATCTCATTTCTATTTATTGGCTGAAGGAGTAGATACATGGAATGACAAGGGCTGTCTTGCATACGGTTATTCTGCATTTAAGCCTCCCTTCTCTTTTGCAGATCTCTTTCTTAGGTGGGCTATGTTTCAACGAAGGGGTAAATTGGCTAATCAAGAACATTGTCCAGGAACAGAGGCCTTGCCCAGGTAGAGTACCACTCAACCACTCACGTGGATGCAGATAAGGGGGGTTGGTTTCGTGGCTCTGCTGGTCACTTCCGTGCAAAAAAGATGCTAAGACTCTGGAAAGAGTACAGACAAGAGCAACCAGGATTATTAGGGGGATAAAGGCTAAAACATATGAAGAACGGTTGCTGGAACTGGGCATGTCTAGTTTAATGAAAAGAAGGACTAGGGGAGACTTAATGGCAGCCTTCCAATATTGGAGGGGCTGTCCCCAAAGAAGAGGGAGTCAAGCTATACTCCAAAGCCCCTGAAGGCAGGACAAGAAGCAATGGGTGGAAACTGATCAAGGAGAGAAGCAACCTAAAACTAAGGAGAAACTTCCCGACAGTTAGAACCATTAACCAGTGGAACAGCTTGCCACCAGAAGTTGTAAATGCTCCAACACTAGAAGTTTTTAAGAAGAGATTGGACAACCATTTGTCTGAAGTAGTGTAGGATCTCCTGTTTGAGCAGGGGGTTGGACTAGAAGACCTCTAAGGTCCCTTCCAGGATTCTATATCAAGGGGTCTTCAAACTTGACAGCTTTAAGACTTGTGGACTTCAACTCCTCCAGAATTCCTCTTCCAGTCATGTTAGCTCAGGAATTCTGGGAGTTGAAGTCCACAAGTCTTAAAACTTGCCAAGTTTGAAGACCCTTGTTCTATATAATATGGTGCCCGCGAGAAGCCACAATGGGGTCAAACGGAGAGCAAATGTAATGTGACAGCACACAAATGTAATTGTGTTGTACTGTTTCCTAAACCTCCATGTTTTCTTTCCGTCTCTGCAGAAGCTCACCTGTCTGTCCACTCGAAGTACGCAATGCCTTCCAGCCATTCCCAATTTATATGGTTTTTCTCTGTCTATTCATTCCTCTTCCTTTATTTAAGGTGAGTAGAGCTTGGTCCATCCTGGGAGTGGAAAGTTTTTATTTTATTATATTTTGGGTCTGGATGCAGACGTGCAAAAGGAGGCCCCTTATTAATAACGAGAAGGAAAAAAAAACTTCCTTTTGATTCGGCGTAGGGTTCTCAATACAGAATGAGATAATCCAGCATATTTCCTCTTGGTGGATCCATGGATAGCCAAGGTTCAGGTAGTCCTCAACTTTAAACCGTCGTTTGATGACGATTCGAAGTTATACCACCATTGAAAAAAGTGACTTGCACTTACGACTATTGCAGTATTCCCATGACCTGCCGACTTCCAACTCCCAGAATTCCCCAGCCAGCTTTGGGCATCTCCTTCCCAGAAGTAAGATGCTGGTTTCTCGATTGCTGATTGAAGGGGCTTGTTTCATCTCTCCTAGGATGCACCAAACCAACAATGCCAGGTTCCTGGACTTGCTTTGGAGACACCTGTTGTCCGTCTGCCTTTTAACCTTGGCCTGTCTAGTGTCATACAGCAGGTATGTTGTGAGGGGTGTTGTGAGGCTGCCTTCCTGTCCCCAGATGGCTGTGAGTTTCAGTCCTCTTATCACAACCTTGAAAACTTTTTGAAGATGTGTGGACTTCAATGCCCAGAATTCCCCAGCCGGCAATGAAGGCCACACAATCTTAAAATTGCCACTATAAACACTGCGAGTTGAAGGGAAAAGAGGACTAGGAATATTGGCCGAAAACTCGCATCTTTTCGGAGATAAAGAGCTAAATGGCACCCTCCCTTGCTTCCTTCCTTGGTAACCTTTTTATTTTTCTCGGTAGGGTTTACTTACTGTATCACACCTGGAGTCAAGTTGCCTACGGAGGGTTTGTAGGAAGTTTCATGGCTGCCCTTTGGTTTCTCTTCACGCAGGAAATCCTAACGCCGTTGTTCCCAAGGATAGCTGCATGGTAAGTGCTCTCCCTGCACCGCAGTCCTTCTAAACTAAAAAATGCACCTCTCTTCGTAGATAGTGGGGATGTGCAAAGTTATTTGACTCCGGGATGGGGCATTCCAGAGAATGGTGGAATGTCCCAGAAGACTCCAGAACATTCTGTTTCTACCTGGATCACGCCAAACCTGCTCCTTTTATCACATCATTCCCAGTTTGGCATTTTCCAGAGGGAATCCTTCAAAGGGGAGGTAATTTGAGGTGGTATTAACAGAATCTGGCCCCGAAGCAGATCCGTTTTGTCTGGAACACTATGCCTGGAATTTGCCTGAAATCAGAGGACTTATTTTCAGAAAATACCCCGAAAGTACCTATACAGGTAGTTCTTGAATTACAACCCAAAAATGTGGACTTAGGCCCGTTTTTCACACTGTTGCAGCGTTCCCCATAATTGTGTGATCAGGATTTGGGCGCTCGGCAACCCGGTGTGTATTTATGGCAGTTGTGGCATCTGGGAGTTACACGAACAACATTTGTAATTTTCCCACCTGGCTTCCAACCAGCAAAATGAGTTGCAAAGTCGAATAATTCCAGGGAATGTGATTTTGTTGTTTCTTTTGAGCCCTGGAATTAACAATTGTTGACACAAGTTTGTGTTCTGTCACAATCAACAGCCCCGCAATAAAACTCTCCTGTTCTAGCTTGAATCCTAGCCCTGATGTTGTGTGGATTCAGTGGAAGAAGTTAAAAGGATTTGGCTATATTTTGGCTAACTTTACCTCCCCGCCTTTCTACCTTCCTTCCCCGCCCAACCTGCCTGCCTCTCTTTCTCCTTTTCATTTTGAAGGCCGCTATCCGAGTTTTTCCTAATCCGGGACACCAGCCTCATCCCCAACATTTTATGGTTCGAATACGCGGTCAGCAGAGCAGAAGCCAGGTGAGTCGCCAGTGTTCGCCCCGCCAGGTAGTCACGGCAAGGCTTTCCTTAAAAGAGAAATACGAACCCCTGACCCGTCTTCCCTTCCCTCTCCTCGAAGGAACCGGCAGCGTAAACTGGGCACCAAGCTACAATGAACGCCCACGTCTCTGGAATCGGACTACGCACTTCTGTATCCCGGCAGGCTGGAACGGAGACACCCTGCCCAGATCTTTTGAGGACGTAGCAAGGCGGCTTTGACGAGGCGGATGGACGTGACTGGGCGAAGGACAAACACCGAAGACCCCAGAGGCCTTTTCCAACGCGCTGGATTAATCCTGCTGCATGCCGAGTCCGTTCGCGAGCGGAAAACCATTTATATATCGCAGGCGCACAGCGTTAGACTGGATGATGCACCGGGAAGCAATTTTTTTGGGGGGGGGTGAGGGGGGGGCCCACAAGTACCTCTAAATTGGATTGGGGGGGGAGAGAAGAAAAGGCTGAAGCCGGCCGTTGGCGTAGTCCATCCACTTCAGCCGAGCTTGCGTTCAGACACTGGATGTCGGTCGGTTGTACCTGTGAATATTTAAGTTGGGGCCTGGGGGGGGGGACCACGTACGCCTTTTATTGGGGGGGGGACACACGCCCGATACAGCTCTGTGACTTTTCTATTGAATTTCTTTTCTTTTTTTTTTACAAAAGAACAGGAAGAAGAAGAAGGAAAAAAAAAAAGGCAATTTGCAGCATGCAATCCACACACTATTTATATAATCATGGGTTCAGTTAGGCGAAGTGGGAAACAGCGGGGTTTGAACCTGCTTTTCCCCGGGGTGCGGTGGCGGGGGAACGGCCAGCTCGCAGTCACTGAAAAATAATAGAGTTAAGAGGGAAAATGAATCAAGGTTAGAGAGAAAGAGGATTCTGCACTCGGTTGAAGTCAAGGGCGCCCAACCTTGATGGCTTTTAAGACTTGTGGACTGCTGAGGAATTCTGGGAGTTGAAGTCCAGGGGTCTTTCGAGTCGCCAAGATTGGGCCTCTTGGCTTAAGCAGTCTGCAGGTTGCTTTGAGTACAAGTGCTTTTCCTACACACTTCACTAAAGCGACCCGACAACCTTAATTAAAGGATCTGCATGTGCTGATCAATACAGCAGCAAAAAAACACACAAAAAAACCCCCCAAAAGCCACAATACTTTCGTTTTTAATCACATCCTGGTACTGAGGTTCCTTAACCAAATTTGTGGCGCCTTCCTGAGTGGGACTCCTTCCCTTCCTTTCCCTTCCCTTCCCACTCCACGATGCAAAGTTCATCCCGTAATCAGCGTTGCTGGTTTGAGGAAGGCCCGCAAATGGAAACCTCCCTGCGTTCGGTGGCGAGCGATGGGGCTTGTAGTTCAAGGGAATTAGAAGGCAGGGGGAGGCTGGTTTATAAAGGATTCCCCCCTCCGCCAACCCTTCCAAACTTTTAAATACTCAATAAACGTGTTTTTATGGTCGCGTTCCGCCTGGGAAAGTCTGCTTCCTCCAGCTAACCGTGGGGACCTTGGCAAACCTTGATTGGGGAGATCACATTGCGGGCTGTTATAAACCAGGAAGGGCATCTCAGCTACGTGAGTAGCAATGGCCAGAGTTGATCAAGAGTTAAGCTCCCCTTAACATGGTTCATAGCAGGGTGGCTGCCTCTGGCTCGTAAATATTCAGAATAGAATAACAGAGTTGGAAGGGACCTTGGAGGTCTTCTAGTCCAACCCCTTCTCAGGCAGGAAACCTAACATTTCAGACAAATGGTTGTCCAATCTAACTTCTAGTGTTGGAGCATTCACAACTTCTGGAGGCAAGTTGTTCCACTGGTTAATTGTTCGAACTGTCAGGAAATTTTCTTCTTAGTTCTAGGTTGCTTCTCTCCTTGATTAATTTCCACCCATTATTTCCATCCATTAACTAAGCTGGTTTTTTGTTTTTTTCATTTAGCACAAATGACTTTTTGGTTTTTTTAACAAGAGAAGGCACGACCAGTACAAGCAGTTCTCGATTTGCAAGAGTCCATTTAGTGACTGTTCAAAGTTACAACGGCACTGAAAAAAAGGGACTTTTATAGCAGTGCTTTCAGTTTACAACCTTGGCCGCATTCCCATGATCACGTGATCAAAATCCAGGCACTTGGCCACTGGTTCATACTTACGACCCGTTGTTGTGTCCCAGGGTCACGCGATCCCCTTTTACGACCGTCTTGACAAGCAGAGTTAACGGGGAGGTCAGATTCACTCAACATCTGGGTGGCTAATTTATCAATTTGCTTATCGTGATTCACTTAACGGTCGTAGAATGGGGCAAAACTCACTCAGCAGATGTCTTCCCTGAACTTGAGAAATTTACAATTGTTGTAAGTCGAGGACTGCCTGTACATTCAATCAGGAAAGAAAGGTCTAAACGGCATTCTTTTCCCATCTTTTAATTGGGATGTATTTATATTTATACAGCTCAAGGCCTCTGCATCTTTCAGAACATGACATACAAAAAAAAAATAATTCAGTGTAATAACAATTTACTGTCCAATCACGCAAGCATCGGGACAAAAGCAAACAGCAAAAATTTGGCAATACTCACTAAACAGTGCAAAAAATACCTGCTCGGTGCGCTAGGAGAATATTTAATGTTTGGCTCTTTTAAGACCTTAAAAAACCTGCTGACCAACTTGACATAGATATTCCAGGAGAATTTTTTAAAAATATTTCCTAGGATTCCCAGCTAGTACGATATTTGGGACTCCTGGGAATTTCTGTATTTTGAAGGGTGGTGCCTGAATTAGCCCATCTTCTGAGCTTGCAAATGCTTGAGAGTCGGGGGGAAAAAAAAAGGAACCCATCAGGTTGAATTCACCCAACAGGAACAACTGTAAATCTTCAAATCAAGGTTGAACCTTGGCAAACTTAGCATGTTGTACTAAAGTGACACGAATGAAGGTCTTGGGCCCATGTGTGGTTTGAAACACGGACCATCCTGTCTCTAACTCTCATTACTTTTACATATTTATATATTTAAAAAAAAAACATTCTAAAGCAGTGTTTAAAAATAGCTTTTTAAAAAGCTGTAAAATGTCCTAAGCCAGCTGTGCCGGCTGGGGAATTCTGGGAGTTGAAGTCCACCTATCTTAAACTTGCTAAGGTTGGGAAACGCTGCTTTAAAAGCTATTTTTAAAGTTACCCACCACATTTGCATTTAAATGTACAGCGCAACTGTTAAAAACTTCAAAGCTGAAATACCAACTTGCAAGATGATAAATTTGTAAACCACTTTACATGGTATCCCTAGGAGCAGGCAATATAAGGCACTTCCATGCAACTAGAGGGTTTCGCTTAATGCACTTTCATCAAGACACCAGATCTCATGAACATTGTGGCAAATGCTACCTATGGGGAGGATTTGCCTCATCCTTCTGGTCGGGAGTCATCACCCAAATCTAATTTGACACTATACGAATTCTACGACACGTTAGCCATGGAGCTCTGGTGGTAGAACAGCAGAAAAGAGAAAGAAAAAAGAAAGAAAGGGAAGGAAGGAAAAGAAAAAAGAAAGCTGCATCTTGGTTTCTCTCCATTCTAGAAACATAACACATTTTATTATTCAAAATGCAGGCATGGATTTTATTGCAATGAACTCCAAAAGTTGACTTAGCCATGCCATAACCGTGGGTGTTATATTTGCATCTTACTCCACATCCTGAAATGCACAAATGTTTGCTGTATCAAATGGTTGCATTCATGCTACCAGCTTAATCTGTCTTTTCAAATAACCAGCTTTTTGAGTTCACAAATCTGCCAAACTAAAACAATGTGGAAGGACCGTATCAATCAAGACTCCCCCCATCTTTGGCTGTGTAAATTGTAGCTGCTAAAAACTTCGTGGTTTTTAAGGAGGTTGTGTGGACAGATGGATGCCACTGTACAAAAATGTGCAGATAATCTAAAAATCTGTTTCTAATGAGGCTGACTTAACATAAATACCCAGAACTGGGTAGCCAGAAACCAGCAAAGGAAGCTAAAAAAGAAAAACTGGTGGAAATTTAGAGCTAATCTCCCAACAAGAGCATTTTTTAAAAGGCTTATTTAGTGAAATGACATCTATTGGCACAGAAAATCCTGGAAAAATGTTGGCATTATCAAATACTCAACATCCACTCGAGCAAGACAGAGCTCTCAGCCAATTTTGTAAGATCCAAGAATCGGCCATTGGTCCAGGTAACCCAGCCAGGTGGATGGGTTAACTAGGACTTGTATGAGGCTGAAATTGCACTGTGGGTGACAAGGATTGTGAGCAACTCAACAAAAAGGCATAATAATGGAGAAGGGAAAATCGAGAAGGAGAGATGAAAAGATGATGGAGGAGGAGATGGGGAAGGAAGACGAGATAAGGGATGAGGAGGAGGAGTAATGATGGAGGAGGAAGGCAAGGAGTAAGGATGATGGAGAAGGGGAAAGAGGACAAGAAGATGAGAATGAGGAGGAAAAAAAATGATATGATGGAGAAGGAGAGGAAGAAAAGGAAGCAATCTTTAGCATCAAACCAGAAAACGGCTCTACCATGAAAACCATCATAGTAACGGATGCTGTGAAACGGGCTTGTTATATTCCCACGGAGAACAAACATTGTGCAAAATCCCAGGCTAAACTTCTCTGGAGGCTTTGAGCCAAGACCTTCCCTTTCAACCCAGCATCCAACCAAGGAAGGTCCGGATTCCCGTTGATTCACAAGCTCCCCGTTCTCTCCCGCGAAACCTCTCTTAAGGCACAGACTCATACGAACACAGGGAAGGTGAGCAGGGTTATCTCCCCTGTTGAGTGATGGGAGTTCATTTCCATCCCGCAAACCCAGCGCCACCAGGAAAAAGTCTTCCATCCTTCGGAGGGAGGGGTGGGAAGTCCAGGGTGTGGATGACACCCACCCAGAAGGTCAGTAATTCGAACCGGTCCGTTCGCCTCTTCCCCTCTTAAAGCTTGGACTTGGGATTGGATTGGAGCAGAAGCCGCATGTCCAGCAGTGCTTGCTCCAAGTAATGGGACATCCGGGCGGCGTTGGTTTCGCTGCAGCTGTTGAAGGCCGAGATGGCAAAATTGATGTGCTCCGCCATGGGGTTGTAGCAAACGCCGTAACCATCCGGCACCACCGGCCCAAAACACATCACACAGTCTGTCTTGGCGGGCACCTGCAGGGAGAAGTGGACATTCTGGGCTAGTGGTTAAGGAACCGGGCTAGAAACTCGGGGAGTTCTAGTCACGCCTTAGCCATGAAAACCAGCTGGATGATCTTGGGCCGATCACCAGGAGACGAGGAGTTCTAGTCCCGCCTTAGGCAGGAAAGCTGGCTGGGTGACTTTGGGCCAATCACCAGGAGACTGGGAGTTCTAGTCCCGCCTTTGGTACAAAAGACAGTTGGGTGACTTTGGGCCAATCACCAGGAGACTGGGAGTTCTAGTCCCACCTTAAGGCATGAAAGCCAGCTGTGTGACTTTGGGCAAATCACCAGGAGGCAGTGAGTTCTAATCCTGCCTTAGGCATGAAAGCCAGTTGGATGACTTTGGGCCAATCCCTCTCTCTCAGCCCAACCCACCTCACAAGGCTGTTGCTGGGAAAATACAGGAGGAAGTTATGTTGGGTATGTTCTCTACCTTGAGTTATTTGTAAAAATAATAAAGGCAGGATACAAGAACAGTAAATTAAACAAGCAAACATGGATGGATGGAATTAAACTGGGGTTCCTTCCCCCATTCTAGCTTTTCTCGCGCCCCCTCAAACTGGTGGCCCCATTTACGACCATTGCCGCTTAAAATCAGACGGGCGCGCTCCATTATCGTCACAAGTTGAGGACTGTCTGTAAACTATTGAACATGCCCCCACAAAAAATAAAATAAAATAATAATAATCCCAGGAAAAATATAACACCAGAGATGGCTTGGAGGCAGTGCACCACCGCCCAATAAATCCATGCGGAAAGCAATAACCCCCGAGACCTTGATCCACTGCAACAGCAGCTCACCTGGCTGGTGGAGAGGTTGAAGTGCATGGCTACGGCGTAAGCGGTGTCCATGAAGAGTTCAGGAATGCTCACTAGATCCTCAATGGCTTGGAGCTTCAGGCCCAGAAGGTGACGATCGATTGCATTTCCTCTAATGGCCTACGGGGAAAGAGAGAAACATGGAGGGAACAATTTTGTCGCTGCTCAGAGGTTTGCTATCGAAAGCGACAATCTGTTTTCTTGCAGGCATCTGGTTACCCTACTAGGTAACATCATCAGTGCCAGAAGAGAGTGGGGTTTGTGGAGAGGAGGAGGAGGAGGAGGATGTGGGGTCCTTGGTGGTCTCTGAGCTTGGGAGTTTTCTTGTGGATGTTTCATTATCCTACTAAGTGACATCAGTGCTCAATAACAGTTAAGTTCCACACTGATCAAGGTTTCGATGTTATGGTGTGTGGGAACGGCCTTGGGAGACCGGAGGAAGAGCTGGAGAACAGGCGAAGAAAAGACATTCCAACCCAAAGAAGGAAAAGGCGTGGGAAGCATTTCAGAAAAGACTACAGTTTTTTGGAGAGTAAAAAGAGATGAGGAGAAAGACACTTCCAGGCTTGCAAGATTAGCCCTGTCGAGATTTTGCTTGGAACGGTAAACATCCTGCGACAAGACATGTAACCCCCTGCAAAAAGTTCAATGACTGCCTATCCCAAGTCCTTTGGAAGGGGTTCAATAGGCAGATAAAAATGCCAAATCCGACCTGAACATCTGGGCTGAGTGTGCAAGAAAACACAGCAACGGTAACAAGAACTAGAACGAAACTTCTTACACATTAAGTTACTGCACGGCACAGCAAATTGTAAACAAGGTTGTACGCAATAAACCCTATGTTCGTGATTGTTATTTATAATGTAAAATAATAACACCCACCATGTCAGTATAGTTTCGGTGTGCCTGGGTGGCTCGCCTCAACAATTCTGCCTTCTCTTGATCCTAAGGAAGAAATAAGTCGCAAAACGTAACCGATAGGCGTTTCTAAGGGTCTCAGAAAAATGGCGGAGATTTGCGAAATATTACAAGTGCAGGACCAATTCCTGTTTATTTTCCCTTTCTCTGGAAAACAGGTAGCTATCTCCCCAGTGTGTCGATGGATGGTTAGCAGGAGACTCAAAGTATCTTTACCTCTGCCCCTTTCAATAAATCTGGTTAAATTTTTGCTTTTCCATTGTTAAGGGCAGATTGCGGAAAACTTGCCTTTTTAAAAAAATCTCTGATCCACTTGAAAAAGTTTCTTTCATCTGTCTACAGTTGTTATTCTTTTTTAAAAAAAAAGTTAATTTATGACAATAAATATCCAACCTCGATTCCATAAATGCAAGAATCCGTCTTGGAAATGAAAAGCAGGAGAAAAAAAAATTTACAGCCTGTTTTTCCTGAATTTTCTTGAATTTACCCAGGCATCGCGGGTAAAACATGGTGGCACAGAGATGGAGCTCTTGCCTCACAATCTGGAGGCTGAGAGTTCGATCCTAGGTGGAGGCAGATATTTGGGTAAAATGAGAATATATCTGCTGAACAAAACTCTGCACTGGTGACAGGAAAGGCATCCGGCCATTAAAACACACTGCTAGCTCCATTCAGTTGCCCAGACACCGCCCCGCATGGGATTATGGGGTCGTTCAAAGAAGATCAGGATGATGAGGGGTAAAACATGGGTGCCAAGTAGCCTACCTGGATGTTGTCAGCGCTCATGGACTGTACAAACTTCAGCACATCCACGGAGGCTGAGCGGATGGTGTCTGTCCGGCCAAGACGGAACATCCGAAGCGAGGCGCTCTCGTAAGTGGAGCAAAGCTCTCCGTACATCCTAAAAACACAACAAGAAAAAGAAGCAAGGGTGGGAAATAGAAAATGCAGGGTTCCCACACCCTAAATTCAAATTGGCTTCCGAAAACAGAAAGGAGCAGTTCACGGAAGCGCTAGGGGGATCAAGGGCTCTTGACGGTGAGGGCAGTTGGACCAGCTCTCTGAAGACATAGATAGGTGGCTTTTCTTGGGCGGTTGGATAAGAGTGTAAGAAGCTATGAAGGGCTCTGCTGGATTAGACCTGGATTGGTTCTGTGATGACCCAAAGGGGCGTGGCACAAAAGCAACGAAGTCGCAAAAGTAGGTAAAGTCCCTTTAATTCCTCCAACTTGCCTCCCCCAATGTCCAGTTATCATCGGCTGGAGAAAAAACTCTCCCAGGAACAGTTTTTAAAGGGAAGAAATTCAGTGAGACCCCAAAATACATCTAAATTATAAATAAAAACCAACACAAACCACGCTGCAGCAATTAAAGGGACAGGGCAGGCTTCAAAAGGATAACAAAACACACACAGTTGGGAGGAGGCCAGAATCCAGATAAGACTTGATAAACAAAGATAATGCACACTTTGCTTCCAGCAAGCTGCTGTGCGCAAACGTCCTTTATATCTTGTTTTCCCAGCTGCAGCTAATGAAGGGAATCAGGGCCTTTTTCTCCCCCCGTAACCCATGTTGCTCCCTTCTCCATTCCTCCCTGTGTGCTCTAGGATGAAGAGGGCTGGGCCCAGGTCTGAATGCCCAGCCGGACTGTGCCTTTCCCCAGTTTCCTCCACAGCCACCAGAGCCACACTCCCACTCCCTGTCAGCTGCTTGGCCTCCCCCTCAGAATCAGGTTCCAACAGGGGCATGACAGGTTCTTACAGTGGCCCACCAGCTTCTCCAAGGAAATTCACCAGTTTCCCAGCAGATGGGAGGAGTAAGAGAAGGAGAAGTGGAAGGAGGAGCAATCTTTATCCTCAAACAACAAAAACCCACCAGTAGAATCCAGAGCACCCAACCCCGCGCCCCATTTACCTGTAGTAAGCCAACTGCAAAGCGACTTGAATAAAAGCATCTGGACTGATCTTCTGCGACTTGGGGAAATTTTTCCCAAATTGATGGAACACGATCACCTTGATATCCAAATCTTGCACCATGCTGCAGAAAAAGGACGAGACACAGATTGAACAAGGTCTCCTTTAAGGATCCTTTACAAGCAGCCCTCAACTTACGGACTATGAACCTGTAAAAAGGACGCCTTCAAACTTCCTATGGACTAGAAACGTGACAATTTCTTTCAAAGGAAAGGAAGGCGCCTCCAGATACTGGCTAGAAAAAAAGTCAACCAGGAATTCGGATTTTTCCATACCGGCTTTTCTCAACCTGTCCCAAGTTGGGACAGGGTCACTTGTCCAAACTGTCCCTTCTCCGTTTACTCACATGTTGAGATTCTGCTTGGCATCTTCAATATCGTTCTTGATTTCCGGAGTGATATTAAACCGTAGTTTCTTTGGCATCGGTAATGGGACCATGGGAGATCTTACAAGCTCCGGCTTCTTTCTACCAAAAGCAGGAAGGACATAGTTGAAGCACAGAAAAGAAAAATAAAATAAATGGGTGTTTTCTTTTCGAAGAGAGAAAACCAGGGAGCCTCTGATTTTTGATATTAGAAATGTGTGTGGAAAGGACGAGCAAATATCGGCTGAAGAGTGAACTGCCCAACAAAGACAATCTGGCTTATGTTAGCGGTTGCCAGAAAAGGGAGTGGCGGTGGGGGAAATAAACAAAATAAAAGCAATTTGAAAGCCAAGCTGCCTTACGTGTACTCCACAATGTGATCCAGCAGAGCCACAATGGGGGGGCCCTCGGATGGCGCATGCTCATACACCAACCCGCAGGATCCATCTTCCGCCACGATGAACTGCAAGGAGAAATCCGGATGAAATTGGCACAGGCACCCAAATAAGGAATCTTGCTTTGTTGGCTCTGTTGCTGCAATACACGAGTTTTCTTTCTTCCTTCCTCTCTTTCTTTCTTCTCTCTTTCTTTCCTTCCTCTCTCTCTTTCCTTCCTCTCTCTTTCTTTCTTCTCTCTTTCCTTCCTCTCTCTTTTCCTTCCTCTCTCTTTCTTTCCTTCCTCTTTCCTTCCTCTGTTTCCTTCCTCTCTTTCTTTTCCTTCCTTTCTCTTTCCTTCCTTCCTCTCTCTCTTTCCTTCCTGTTTCCTTCCTCTCTCTCTCTCTTTCCTTCCTTCCTCTCTTTCTTTCTTCTTTCCTTCCTCTCTCTCTGTTTCCTTCCTCTCTTTCTTTCCTTCCTTCCTCTCTCTTTCCTTCCTTCCTTCCTTCCTCTTTCCTTCCTTCCTTCTTCTCTCTCTTTCCTTCCTCTCTCTCTCTCTCTCTCTCTTTCTTTCCTCCCTCCCTCATGTCACCCTTCGTCCTTCCCTTCATTAGACTTAATGAGCTCACTAGAAACAAAGTTCGTAAATGCCTCATTTACCTCCAAGGCTAGCAAGCATTAAAGCCATCGGACTGAAGTTTACAGGATAATAATAATAGCTTTTATAGTCATTGTACATCATGTGTACAACGACATCAGTTTAATTCTTGCTTCCTTGAATTGGGTGGGGACTTGACGGACACCCCACCTGACAACACAACCTTAAAATAGCTGGAAAAGAGATGCAATCTGAGGAACGTTGGTAAAAAAAATAAAATCCCAAGCACATCTCTGTGTCTGCACAGAAACCTCACGACGGATGCAGAAGTTTTAGGCAAGGCGGTGGGCAGGTCTACCCCACCAAGTTACCTGGAGCGTTTTGTCGAACCAGCGGTTCCCACTATTCCACCGGCTTCCTCCTCCGTGTAGCATCTGGGCAGCCACCCGGCTCTTATAAACGTCATCTGAGACCCGGGGGATTGGAGCGTCCAAGCAGACGGTGAAAATGCTCTTTTCAATCGTGCGCACGGATTCCTTGTTGGTCTTGTCTAGAAAGGAAGGAGACGCTCCATCAGCCGGCAACACACACAAAATACAGCGTTGGAAGGGGCCCTGGAGGTCTTCTAGTCCCACCCCATTCAAGCAGGAGACCCTTTCCTATCTCACTCAAAGGCTTGGTCCAACCTCTACTTAGAAACCTCCAGCGATGGAGTATCCACTATTTCTCAACTTTCTCTTTCATTCTCTCAAGAGTTGAATGGGGCCTTGGTGGACTTCTAAGCCAACCCTTGCTTGAGGGAGACCCTGTATTACCCTGGACCAATGGCTATCCAATCTCTTCTGAGAACCTCCAGGGATAGAGTACACACAATTTCTGGAGGCAAGCCACCCACTGTTTATCGTTCTCCCTGTCAGGAAGTTTCCGATTCATTCCAGGTTGTTTCTTTCCTTGACTAGTTTCCATCTGTCATTTCTTGTCCTGCCTTCTGGTGCTTTGGAGAATAGGACAATCCCCTCTTCTCTGAGACAGCCCCTCAAATATTGGAAGAGTGCTATCATGCCCCCCCTTGGCCCTTCTCTCCATCATTCATGACAAGCCATTGATGGTAACCCACGTGGGAGTAAGGGATGGGTGTTGACCTTTGATGAGGTTGTTGTAGGCTTTGGCCCAACTGTTGCGATGGTTGCTTGTCAAAATCCCGATGGGCTCCTTGTTGGTTTGAAGGGACGTATTCCAAATCTTTTCCAACTGAATGAAAATCTGGTCGGTAGTCAGGGGGCTCCCGTTGCTGCTGTAAACATCTAGCTGAAAGAACTGGGGGAAAAAAAAGGAGAAGCAGAGGGATCAAGCAGCAAATCGTTATTTATTAAACTTACATACCAAATAAATAGGAGAACTTATTTGTATCTGATTTTATTTAAGGAGGCAGGTGAAGAACGCTACAAAAATCCTCGAACCCTCCTCTCTGTATTATTCCATTCCTATTGCTTAGGCTGATTCTGTTTTGAAAAAGCAGGCAGTTCTCAACTTGCAACCATTTGTTTAACAACTGATGGATGCAGTGTTTTCTTGCAGTCGTTTCGTGACCCAACTAGGTAACATCATCAGTGGGAGCAGGGTTTGCTCACTGTTCACAGACAAGTGGCTTGCCCTGTCAGTGTTGGTGGGAGTGTGAAGAATGAAGAATGAATGTGGCTGATATTACCTAGTTGGCTCATGAAAAATCTGCAAGAAAACAACTAAGCTTAGTGTTACACAGGGAGCAAGTCACACACACTAGCACTGATGATATCTAGTTGGGTCACGAAATGCCTGCAGCTGTTCTGACCCAAGCCTTATTCAAATCAAACAAACAAAGTATGTATAAAAGCAAACCTTTTTAATGTGGTGCTGTGAATTCTGTTCATTCACAGCCAAAAGTCATTCAAAACTAATTGTCCCAGAGAAGAGCAAGCCCTTTCAAGGTTACAAAAGGCTGCCAAGAACAAAAGACTAATTGCAGATAAATATCCAAAGCCAGAAATTTCAAAAAACAAACCGGAGTAAGCAGGGCTTCAAAGAGGATTCTGAGTAGAAAGAACTTCATTGCTTCCTGCAAAGAAGCCAACCCCGAAGGCTGGCTTTTATCCCTTATGGGAGGAGCCAACACCTTGCAGCCTTACTCTCGAGTCATCCGTGCTGCTTCAGCTGCTCTTTTCTTCGAGCAGCCCTGTGCACACCCCACTCTCCGATAGTCCTGGCCCCATCCCTGCATCACACGCAGGCCCCTCGTTCGAGTCCTCGTTATTAAGAGACCTCAGCCATCCACACCTGCTGCCAGCGAACCACAACAGTAGCAAGCAACAAAGGATCTCCTGCCTACCTGAAAATTGTGAACCACGGTGATGTGGGTGGGAGGTTTCTTCCCCTTGGCATAGTTCACCACCGAGTCGCGTTTCGGACCCGGGATGCGGCAAGACGAGAGGATCTGGTAATACTGATTCATGCAGAGAGGCTTCCCGCCGAGATATTCCACAGGTAGAGTTTCGCTGGAGAGAAAAAAAGGCGAAAGAGGGAGTCGTAGAAAACTCAGGTGCCTTGTGAGACACGGCTGGCAATGGGGCCGAAGCTACAAAAACCTGGAATTTGGAAACGGGCTTTTGAAAAGTGTTGGCTGGGCGCAGCCACAGGGAACAACAGTAACGGGAAACAATAGTTTTGATTTTTAATTAAACTGGACTCAACAGGTATCACAGGAGGGGGAGCCTTGCCCGATCTTTTCTTCCACCTGCGTTTTACACCCCAATGAACTCCAGTAAAAGAGATGGACAGGCAGGCAGGCAGTCAAGGAAAAGAACGGCTAAACTCTTAGCGCAACCTCTCAGGTTCGTTGATTTATAGATGTGAATCTTTGAAGACTTTGATTTCTTTGTGTGTGTTGAATTCTTTTCCAGGGATCTTGAGTTTTATGGTCCTGATCCTTTGTAGTTGCTTATTTACTATCATGCTTCCTTCCTGCCATGCCTTTTGGTTTGCTTTTCATAAGTTTTTATAACTTGCCATCTATTTGATTTCTACGGGAAAGGATCTTGGCTAGTTTGTAGGGGTTTTTTTTTTCCTCTGTATCTCAGGCCTGTAATTTCCTCCTTCCTTTGTTGTGAAAAGTAAGCTGGCTCCAGCTACTTTAATAGCCCTACTTGACAAAAGGGTGATGGGCCTGACCCTGCGCTCCTCGGAGGTCAAAAAGCTCCAACTCACTTGTCGATCATCGTCTTGAAGTCCAGAGCCCCCTCGATCATCTTGGCCGCAAACCTGAAAGTCAGGAGCAAACAGGTCAGGGGGGGAGGAGGCGGGAGGGGAGGGGGCTTTGCAGAAAGCAGAGTGGTCTCTGGTTTCAGGCTGGTGTTGGAGGAAGCCCCCAAGGTCAGCTGCCAACCCCCTGCCAAATGGAACAAGCGGCTGTTCAGCTCAAATCTTTGCAGAGGTCAAGGGGACAAGCGCTCCCAAGGAAGAAGCTGCGATTTGTAAATATAACCACCTGCTTGTGCAGGGGGTCCGACTAGAAGATCTCTAAGGACCCTCCCAACTCCGTTATTCTGTTACTTAAACACAATCTACATGCAGTTTTGGCACCTGTTGCAAAAATATCTTCAGCTATCTTGGATCCTTGGGGGAAAAAAATCTAGTAGTTCATATGAGATTTTTTTTTTCAAGCATCCAGGGTAGCTAAAAGTATTTTTTTTGCAACGGAGGAGCTAATCCCAAGCAATGTAATTTTTTTTTTTTTTCTGAGGAGCCTGTGCCAAGTGCACGTGCGCGCAGGACTGCTCAAAGGAAAGAGCAGCTGCAGCAGCACAGGCGACTCGGGAGTAAGGCTGCAAGGTAATGGCCCCTCCCTTAAGGGATAAAAGCCAGCCCTCGGAGGTGGGATTCTTTGCAGGAAGCAAAGAAGTTCTTGCACTTCAAGCCTTGTGGAAGTGCGGACTGTCCTGATTTATGTTTGGAGACTTTTGGTTTTGAATATTTCCTTGCAATTTAATCTAGTGTTCTTGGCAGCCTTGCACAACCTTGGCAAGGCTTGTTCTTATCTGTATCTGGGACAATTATTTTTTAATAGTGTTTTACTGTGAATGAACAGAATTCACAGAGAAGCATTAAAAAGGTTTTGCTTTTATCTCTGTTTGGTGTTTGTTTGCTTGGAAAGAGGCTTGGGTCAGGACAGGTGGCAACCTTTTAGCAACCTTTCTCGCAGGTTTCTGACAAGCAAATTTAACGGGGGGAAGTGGATTCGTTTAATCACTGTGTGAGTCATTTAACAAGCTTGGCAGTTTGCTGATAAAACGAACAAACATTTTGCAAATCCACCTATATTCAGGGCTTTTAAAAATGCAAAAAAAAAAAATCTCCTCTTGAGATAAAATCACAACATCCGATCCTTTTCATTTCTCTTCCCCCTGCTTGGATAATTTCCTGCCCTCTGGATCTCTCAAACTATCACTCCCATCACCCCCAGTCAAGGATTAAAGGCCGGAGAGAGGGGCTGGGCTCATTCCCCACACAATGCTCGGCTCACTCAATTGCTCCAGGGCTGATCTCCTTTTGCCCCCAAGCCCAAATGCCTGCCTGTTTGCAAAAAAAAACGCCCTAAGTTTTTTTCTAGCCATGCCCAGAAGAACCCTGCAATCTGGGTGACCTTCTGCTGGGGGAGGGGGCTTAGCTAGAGGTGGAGGCCCATCTGCAGATGGGAGTCAGTCCTGTGAGGGAAGAGAAGGGCTCTGCAAGAGAAGGAAAAATTCCTTTTTGATGTACTCACCGCTTGCTCTTTCCTTGCATTGGCTGGTATTTTTAAATGCAGCCCAGAAGTAGAGGAAAGTTGAAAGGGGGGCGGTGGGCTAGTCAGGGAAAGGTGACCCCCCCACACCCAACACTGCTAAGATCAAATATCCCACTCCCTTTTTTTTTTTCCACGTTCTCAATCAAGGGCAGCCCTGACAGAAGGGTTGACAAGACACACAGGGATCAAAACGAGATTGCAACTAGGAAAAAAAAAACCTCAACAGAACAAACAACTACTCAAAAGAAACAAAAAAGATTGAATAAAAAACAATTACAATTTGAGAGTAGGCACGTTAGGGTACAGTACCTACCCCTGTAAACGTCTTACGTGTGAATGCATTAGTTTACTGGTCAGTGACTGTTAATAAAACTTCTTTATTCATCTTTCTTATCCCTGTAACCTTATCTCAGGTGGGGAAGGAGCTACCACCCTGAAGGCCCTGCTTGGAAGCTACAACTTTCACCTCTTCAAATGGGCTTTTACAGCAATGAGGCTCAATCACAAACCTTAAGGAGGCTTACCTCAGCTGACCTTGCCGGTCCAAGAAATCCTGTTTGGGCAGCACCACGCCAGGACTGGAATGGATGACCACCGGCAGCCGATACTCCAGGTACGCTGTTTTCAGCCACCAGTCTGAAAGCTCGGTTGAGAAGGGAGAGCGTGCAATGAGTTGCGGCACCGAGGCATGGATAGAATATTGGTAGCTCAGGGGCTTCTTGGTAGTCTCTGAGCTTGGTGGTTTTCTTGCGGACGTTTCATTACCAAGCTAGGGAACATCATCAGGGCTAGGGGGGTGTGGGGTTTGCAGAGAGGAGGAGGAGGTTAACTGTGGGATTGTCATTCCCCTGGTGGAGACTGACTCTGAGGGAGAGGAGGAACAGCTGACAGGGAGTGGAAGTGTGGCTCCAAAGGTTGTGGAGGAGGCTGGGGAAGGGCAGAGGCCGGCTGAGCAGTGAGAGGAGGACCCAGGCCCATCCCCTCTCCATCCTAGGGCACGCAGGGAGGAGAGGATAAAGGAGAGATGTGGTCTATTGGGGAGGAGAGGGCCTTGATCCTCTTCATGGGCTGCAGCTGTGACAACCGGATAAGAGGACGGACATGCTTACGGGCCAGTGCTGGAAACAAAGCGTGGAAATATCTCTAGTTTATGGTTCCTCTCTGAGTTTGGTGTCCTTCCCAGTATGTGTTATCTGTGGACGTCCTCCAGCCCTTACCTTGCCTGGTTTGTGTTGCTTTTTACCTTCTTCTTGTAACCCTTTGTGTGGGAGTTTTTTGTCTTCCGTCAAAGATATTCGGAGCTCGGAAGCAAAGTGAAGGAATAAAAGGGGCTTCACCTGTTTTCTGTGACTGTGTTTGTTTCGTATCCCACCCTGGGTCATCACAGGGATCCTTGATGCTATCTGAGCCGGGTGGTGTTACTAAAGTTTTATAAAGCAGTTCTAGGACTTCACGGGATCTTGATTCTATCCCCTCTGTCTATGCAGCCTAGAACTGTGTTGGCTTTTTTGGCTGCCACCGCACACGGCTGGCTCCTATTTAAGTGATTGTCCACTAGGATTCCAAGATCCCTTTCACAGTTACTGATGGGGAAGGATCTCTAAAAACCCCAAAGGTGCTTTTTTCAAGAGGCAACTGGACTTCCTTTGTTTTTGCCTTGAGGACGCTTCTCTTCTCATGCGAGAAGCTTCTTCGGTTCATATAAATCCTTCCGTTCTCCCTCAGTCAGACCTGAGGAAGCTTCTCGAACGAGAAGCAAAATGCCTTCAGGGAAAAAACAAAGAAAGTCCACTTGTCTCTTGGGGACAACCATGACTTGATGACTCGAGAATCTCCGCCGACAGATCTCTTAAAAACCCAACACACTTCCACCCCCCTCACCCCCAGTGCTCGGGGTCCCACCTACCCAATTCTCGTTCTTCCGAGCTCTTCTCTCCAGCCCTTTCTGCAACCGGTCCCCCACGCCGCCCGGTTTCCGAAATTCTCGCACCAAATCTTTGGTGTGGCTCAATTCCTCCTCGCTAATGACAGGCTCCAGCGCTAACAGGTAACGATCCAAAGTTTGCTGCAGTGGGGGGACAGGCAGATGGGGTAGGCCTTCCTGGTGAGTCAGGTAGCGGCCTCGTAACTTCCGTAAGGCCACCGGCTTCAACCAGCTGGAAGGCTTCGCCTGTAACAACACAATTTGCTTTTTTAAAACAAGACTCATTGCATGGAAAAGGCTAGAAACGAGGGGACAAGATTCAACCTTTGCCCCAACATTATTTCCTAGTAGAAATCTAGCAGTTCAGGGAACAGGCTACCAGCAGCCAAACCAAAATGTCACCAGCTGGAAATTAACCTGGAGGTTTTTCCCCCTTCAAAGCAGGAAGAAGTAATTTGATTTTTTTAAAAAAAAAATTGTTTATTTGCATGTATTAAGCCATCCAATTCCAGGGGGCTGTTTTTCTCCTGCCTTGGAGAGGAAGTTTTTGATGTAACTGTGGACTTTCTGCTGAAAGAAGAAAAAATTATGGGGATTGAAAAGGAAAGAAGGAAGGAGAAGAAAGAAAGAAAGAAAGAAAGAGAAAAAAGAAAGAAGAAAGAGAGAGAAAAGAAAAAGAGAAAAAGAAAAAGAAAAAGGAAGGAAGGAAGAAAGAGAAAAAGAAAGAAAGAAAGAAAAGGAAGAAAGAAAAGGGAGACAGAATATATATTTTTTCTTATTTGTGGCCTGATTGCTTTCTGGTTTCTCATTCTTGTATTTTTTTTCTCTTGTCTCTTCATTTCTCAAGTTATGATTTGCTTTGTATCTTTAATACACCAAACATATAGAATCCATGCCCAGCAGTCAGGGCAAAAACACTGAAGCTGGTCAGCACTTTTAGAAAAGCAGAATAATTCAGACGCCACAAGATTGTTTGGATGCTAAGATCCACCCGCCGGTATTCCACATTTCCAGCTGCACGTGATATGTGACGCCTTGGGCTTCACGCCCTGCGCAGCATGAGGGCTGAGGGAGACTCAACTTCGGGTTAATTGTCGTCACAGTCAGTAAATTCTTCCTTAATTCCAGGTTGCTTGATTCATTTCCATCCATGGCTTCTTGTCCTGCCTTCAGGTGCTTTTTTGGAGAATAGACTGACCCCCTCTTCTTTGGGGCAGCCCCTTAACAACGGGGGAAGATGCATATTCAACTCTAACTCGTGTAGTTTTCAACCCAGATCACAGTTTTCTTCTCAAACTCTTCAGACTGACCAACCAAGGAAAGCCAAAATGTTTGGTTTGCATCTCATTACGATTTCTCCATGAAGAGAGAGAAAAGCGTTTCTCCTTGTTCCTTAGACCAACATTAGCTTTCCTTGCCATGCATCCGACCCTAAATAATTCCCTAACAAAACCAGCAAACTTTTAAAGGATTTCTTCTTTTTAAATTTAATTTTTATTGCATTTTCCATCAATACAAACCGTATTCGCAGTTTCCTCAGCAGTCTGACATCTACACACATTATTATTTCATAGTTTCTACAATATTTTACACATTTCAACCAATCACTGTTATCTCTCCATTTATATGCCTCCCTTTTTCAATTTTATCATAAAACAAGGCCAAGCATCTTGTATTCTACTTTATTACGATTTATCGGTTATTTATTCAATGTTTGTGCCGACCATCACTGCTTATAGGTTGAAGGCAGGCGGCTTATGGATGATTTAAAAAAAAGGGGGCAAACAGAGAAAAGAATAAATCAATTAAAACTCTACAGATTATTAACAGATTCGTTTCCACAGGTTAAAAAAAAAAACGATCCCATTTTAAAATCCCATTTAGCCTTTCCAGGCAACCATCCGAAGCGAACTGCACCTCATCAAATCTCTCTCAGTTAAACAAAAATCAGATTTTGTGTGCGTGTTTGCTACTGCAGACCCAACCAGCTACGAGGTCTCTACAGTTCAAGGTGCACTTTTTAAAAGCAGGGTGAAACCCGTTTCTATTTGCCAACCTGATAAGGTAAACAATTTTTGTCCTTTTTTTTCCCCACCCCGCAGTTTCCAAGTGATGTTTGAAACGGGAGAAACATTAAGCCTCCCGGCGTGGGAATCCTCTGCTCGTTTATTTTTATTTTTAACTAGACGTCTCTGCGGTTTCTTTGCCTACCTGTACAAGAAACCATCTCCTCCTTTGAAGGAGTTGGAAGGGTCCCCTTGTGGTCCTCCATCCTGACCCCCCCACACACACACAGGGCAGACACCCCAGTGAAAGCAACCATACCCAGCTCCCCCAATTGCCATCTCAGGGTTTCGATGCCCAACAGATCTTACCATTCGCGGTTTGCATCGCCCGGAGTCGCCCTGCATGGCAATAAACATGCCCGAAACTAAAACTGCACATGGGAAGTTCTTTCAGGAAGCAGGAACCCCGATTTCAACACCCTCCACAATCACACCTGGCCTTAATTCAGGTTCGGCCACTTAGCGCTCCCAGCTTCTCCGAAGTCTGATTAATAAAATTACTATTACCAAAGGTTTCCTGGCACCCAGCCCAACGAGGATTGTGCAAGTCCAACAACCTTTATTGAACAAACGTGAAGCGTAGGAGGTTTGCTTCTACAGGTAATATTTCCCTTACAACCCGTTCTCTTTAGTGACCGTTCCAAGTTACAACGGCACTGGAAAAAGGACTGGAAGAAGGACAGCGTCCGTCCTAAATACGACTCAGTTGCCAAGCGTCTGAATTTCGATGCTTGCAGCGGCCATAGAATGTGAAAAAAAAAAACATTTTATGGCCGCTGCAGCATCAAAATTCAGACGCTTGGCAACCGACTCGTATTTATGACGGACGCTGTGATCCTCTTTTGCGACCTTCTGACAAGCACATTCAACTGGGAAGCCAGGTTCACTTAACAACTTGTGGCAAGAGAGGCCGTAAAATGGAGCAAAACTCATTTGACAAATGTCTTGCTTAGCAATTTTGGGCTCCACTGTTGTCGTACGTTGAGGACTTCCTCTAATCCGACCCCTGCAGTTGGCAAAGGGAGCGCTTTATGGTGTGGGGGGGGCATTCCAAGCATTGCATTACTCCCGTCCTCGAGTTACCAGCCGTTTAGTGGCCTGTTCAAAATTTGGGTTGATGCAAAACGTGACTTACAAGCTCATCCTCGTTCTACTCATAAGCACTGCAGTGTCCCTGCGGTCACCTGATTGAAATTCAAGCACCGGGCAACTGACATGTACTTATCCAGGTTTCTATTATCACGTGATCCACATTTAAGCCTTTCCCAATCAGCTCCCAACGTCAATGGAGGGAAGCAGGATTCGTTTAACGGCTGCATTGGTTTGCTTTAATGACCAGGGCATGAGGTATTGTTTGTGGCCATGCGATGCCTCGGTGAATGGCTGTGTTGCTTAACGACGAATGTCACAGCCCTTTTGCCATACATGGAGGACTAACATCTCTGCAAGACATCGATTACGCTGGCGCTAATAAAATTATTGTAATTATTAGTGCAACTGTACCGAAACTGTCTCTGCAAGGAGGCTAATCAGCTCCACCTACATATTTTGTTTATTTAATAAAATGGCTAATTATTAAAAGGAAGAAGGAAAGGCCAGCCCATGGAAGCTTACAGAGCGTTAAGCCAAATACAGTTGCCAAACATCTTAATTTTGTTGACATAACTGTGGCAATAATGCAAGGTAGGCCAAGTGAAAAAAATAGCCATAAATCACTTTTTTCAAGGCCGCCCACATTTCAAACAGTTACTAAATGAAATATGCCTGTATTCGCTCCCAAAATTGTGACCCTGTTTGTTTCACTTGTGATTCCTTTTGTTATTTCTTGCAGAATTAAAAAAAAAAGCAACTATTTTGCCTTTCTTATTCCTGGATCCACCACTGGAAACACAAGGAACAAACAAAACAAAAAACCCTACCCGAAACAGCCCCAAATGAGATGTTTTCCCTCTTTTTATTTTTTTTAAAGGGGGTGGAATTAAAAACCTTCTGAAGGGACAAGCCAAGATTTGATGCGTGTCCTTTGGCGAAGGAAAATATAATCCCTGTCCTATCCAAAGGATCTTGTCCTCTCCTCTTCAAAGAGAGAAAGAGAGAGAGAGAGACCAGGATCCAATAGGATCCGGTTGCATTGCAACCCCAAAGAGAGAAAATTGTGGTGCCAAGCAGAGAAAGCACAAAAACACAACACACACACACACACTTTTTTTCCTCCAATCCCGAGCGCAAAAGCGAAAGTCAGCGGAGGCAGTCGGTTTGCAAAAGGAGGAAGGAGGCGGAGGGGCCTCCCTTGCCCGCCATCCTCACCCCTCCAGCCCACCCGCGCAGCAGCAGCCCTCACTCAGGATTCCCCCCACCACCCGGCCAGCCTTCCCGTTCTCCAAGCGGGCGCCCGCGCAGCCTCGCCAAGGGACTCACCATGTTCCTGGCTAGGAAGGCGAACATTGCGCCGGGTGGAGAGGAGTCAGGCCAAACCCGCGCAAACGCCCTGCCCACCAAGCAAAGTCCGCAAGGGCAGCCGCGCTCCGGCGCAACCTGGAGCCTCGGCCCCGCCCGCGGGTGATTTGGGGGGGGGAGGGAGGGAGGGAGGGGGGAGGCGGAGTCCCAGACTCAGCCATCTTTAGCGCGGGCATGCCCCCCCCCTCCCCATCGCCATGCTTGGGAAGGGCAAGATTTCCCCCCCCCTCCCCTTGGAAGCAAGCAAGTTTTTTAGGGCGTGGATGGGAGACCACCAGGAAATCCTCAGAAGGGAGAGTGGTGCTTAGAAGCCTTCGCCAGTTTGGCTTCTAAAGGTTTAAAAGTGCCGGAAATTAGTTAGGAGCAAAGGTAATATCACTCTACTAACTAGAGCATACGAAACATTTGCTAGACCAATACTTGAATACAGCTCATCGGTCTGGAACCCGCATTACGTATCTGATATTAACACAGTTGAGAAAGTCCAGAAATATTTCACAAGAAGAGTTCTCCACTCCTCTACTGGTTGCAGAATACCTTATGCCACCAGACCTGAAATTCTAGACCTAGAAAACGTAGAACTACGCCGCCTTCGATCCGATCTAAGTAGAGTATATAAAATCATACATTGCAATGTCCTACCTGTCAATGAATACTTCAGCTTCAACCATAACAACACAAGAGCACACAATAGATACAAACTCAAGGTTAATCGCACCAAACTTGACTGCAGAAAATACGACTTCAGCAACAGAGTGGTCAATGTCTGGAATCCTCTACCTGACTCTGTGGTTTCTTCCCCAAACCCCCAAAATTTTAACCTTAGACTGTCAACTATTGACCTCACCCCTTTCCTAAGAGGTCTGTAGGGGGTGCCTGTCCTATTGTTTCTTTTTATTTTTCTTATATGTATCCATGTAGTCATAACTATGTTTATCCTTATGCTTATTACCTTGTAAGCTATTGACACATCAAATTAAATAAATACAATAAATAAAAAGGAAAGGGGGAGTTTGCAATTGAATGGGGTTATTTGTACATTTTACATTGTCCCTTTTACATTTTTCCTCTTTTTTTCCTTTTATTTCTTTTTTCTTCTTTCATTCTTTACCCTTTTCTTTTTTCCTTTTTCCTATTTCATTCTTTTCTTTTCCTCTTTTATCTGTTGGTTTTTTCCCTTTTTTCCTTCCCTTTTATTTGGTCATTCTTTTCCCTTTTCCTCTTGTATTCTTTTATTTTTCCCCTGTCTTTTTTGTCTTTTTTCCACACTTTTTTCTTTCCCTTATTTTTCTTCATGCTGTTTTTACCTATAGGGCCAGGTCTATTTCCTCTTTTTCTTCACATGCAGAAACAATTATAAGGAACCTTGCTATTAAGAATTCAGCTTTATTGTGCAATAAATATTATGATGTAATAGCCAGCTCTTTGTATATGCTCTACAGTACTATATTTAGCTTTGGATGCAAGAACTAAACTGTCTTATGTTTATTAATACTGTTATTGCAAATCATACTTAATGACAATGTAAATCAATTTTGTCCTTTTAGTCTTTAAGCTAGGTAAACATCAGAATGTTACATCATCTGTTAATGAATACGTACAGATACCACTGAAACAAAACAACATGATGAATTATAATACTTGTGTTATAATAATCTAATTAATCAAATTAAAAACAAACGAACAAGGGCAGGGATCAGGTTAGAGTATCAAAGAATCTGGTTGGGTTTCTTTAGGAAAGGATTAAGAAAAAACAAGTTTGTGTAACATGCTAAACCATCACTAACTAAAACAATGTTTGTCAACCTTGGGAATTTTAAAATGGCTGGATTCCCAGAATTCCCCGGGAAGCCTCCTGGAAATCCACCCAACCTAAAGCATGCTGGATGGGGAATTTGTGGAGACGGAGTACACCCGTCTTAAAGTTGCTAACTTGAGAAACAAGGTTCCAACTGTAAAACAAGGAAGAAGCACAAGGGTGGAAGCAAAAGATGGACTCCCGGTTAAAGAGATGAACATTCAGGGATGTGGATTATGGGTAAAAAATCTTGGGGGTGGGGGGGAGGATGGGTGGTTGGAATGGCCAAAAGACAAACAGGACCAGGATGAAAGCTGGCAAGGAAGGCAGCTCTCGTGTGGGTCAAAGATAAAAAGAGGGTTGAGAGATTGTCTGCGCTGCAGGTTGCCAAAGTCAACACAAAGTTGAAAAAATCGATATGACTCATTCATTAACCAAAGCCAGACTGAGCATAAACAGTTTAAAGATGGGATTAAGACAAACCCTGGCTATTTTTTCCCCTGCAAGGGGGATGTATATTGTCTCTGGATCTTAATAAAGGGCGGTTTATGCAATTTAAACATTGTGCCTAAAGGAATTCTAAATGTTTTGCCAGCTTGGTGTTTTTCTACCTTGGCGACTTTATGTTAAGTGGGCATTTGCTAATTGCTCCAGTCTTTTCTGCGCACTGAACGGAATGAAAGAATAGGAGCCAATCGAAATTCACAAAATAATAGTATTTTTTAAACATGTATTTCAGTAAATATTTAGCTTGGGATTAGAGCAGCATAGACATAGTGGCGATACATTTTTTTAATGTGTTTTTTTGTGAAAAAGCCAAATCTAAGCCTAAGGAATAAATGCATAAAAAAGAAATTGTTTTGTTTATTCAATTTCTGTAGCTGCCCATCCCAACTAATGAGTGGGTGGCTTGCAAATTAAACCGTCATACAATAAAATATAATATAAAGAAAATAGAATAGTATTATGCTATAGTATGATGTAATTAATGTAGAATTAGAATTTGGAGTAGAATAGAATAGAATAGAATAGAAATAGGACAGTATGCTATAATACTATGTTATGCTTTAATGAAATGTAATGTAATGTATATATATTGTAATATAATAATAATATATTGATAATATATTATAATATGATATGATTAATAGAATAGAATACAATACAATACAATACAATACAATATAATATAAATCTGGGCTTCGCTGCCTTGAGTTTTATAACAAAATTAAAAGTGAGATAAAATTATCAGCATCATTGGAGCGCCCTCTAGAGGCCGAACCCCTGTAGCACCCCGGCTTTCCCACCGTCCGAGACAAGCGCACGCGGTAACGTCAATGCGCGCGCGCGCGCGACGCAGGACCGGCTTAGAGTAGTAACTGTTGCCCGCCGCGTCCTCCTCTCCCTGGCAGGCTTCGTTGCCCTTCGCCGACATGGCCGAATCGACGTCGTCCGTTTGACGCCCTGGGCCAAGTCGGGCGTGGCCCTTGACAAACATGGCCGCCCCGGCTTCCACTTCGCGCTTTCCTATTCGCCGACGCCGGCTTTGCCCGTTTCAAATATGGTGGGCCGGCGGTTCCTCAGCGCCGTCAGGTGGTGAGGGCTGCAAGGTTGCGGCGGCGGCGGCGGCGACGGTTCCTCCTCAGTCCCGAGAAGATGGCCGAGAGCGAGCGACACCCAGGTAAGGAAGGGCCAGCCCCGAGATAAAAACCTCCCTCGCCCCCCTCCGGGCCTCCAGCGGGGCAGGACGGGGGAAGGCGAACCCGCCTCCCCTCTCAAGAGGAAGGACGGCCTACCTTGCAGGGTCGTCGTAAACCTCTCGCGGTTGAGCCTGGGAAGTCTCTGAAGGAGAAGAGAAACACCCCCGTGAGAGAAAATGATGGGTGAGGGAGCCTTATCTCGGCTGAGGTGGGGGGCTTGTGTGGGGAGGGGGCGAGGCTCCGGCCTGGAAGGGCTCCATCCCATAATAACAAGGCTTGGGATAAGGGTTGCTGGCACAGCCAGCCAGAGATTTAGGCAGGGATTTGCCACTTTTATCCCTGGGGTGTCTGTGTGTGTGTGTAGGTTCTGGTGGGATGAGGTGAATATAGGCGAGTGCTCGACTTATGACCGCAATTGAGCCCAGCACTTCTGTTGCTAAGTGAGACATGAGTCCAGCGAAGTTTGCCCCCCCCCCCCCGTTTTACAACCTTTCTTGCCGCAGTTTCTAAGAGAACCCAGCGCTGCAATTGCTAACATAGCTTGTTAAGGGGACCGGGCTCTCCTCCCTCCCCCCCCTTGTTGAATTTTCTTGTCCGAAGGTCGTAAAAGGGGATAGTGTGCACTGTGACCGTCATAAGTGTGAATCGGTGGCCAAGCATGCAAATGTAAATTACGTGACCGTGGCGGGGATGGTGGTGCTGCAATTGGTTATATAAGTGTGAAAAATGGTCCCGAGTCACTTGTTTTTCAGTGTCGCTGTAACTTTGAACGGTCATTAAGTGAAGTGTTGTAAGTTGAGGGCTGCCTGTAATCTGTTCCAAGCAAAGCTGCCTTTTGCAATTAACTGGTAGGGGTTTTTTGTCAATGCTCGATAGAATTTAAATGTTCAAATAATACATTGTTACGGTTCCTTGCACAGTCACCCAAATGTTCAGGCTGGATTTACCATTTTATTCACTTATTACCAAGCAACTGGGCCTCCAATCTTGCAACTTTTAAGACTTGTGAACTTCAAACTCCCAGAATTCCTCAGCCAGCAAAGCTTGTGGACCTCAATTCTGCAAAGCTGGCTGAGGAATTCTGGGAGTTTGAAGTCCACAAGTCTTAAAGTTGCCAAGGTTGGAGACTCCTGGCCTCGACAGATGTGTCTCTTTGAGAGTATTTCAGATATAAAGATGTAAGCTGTTCCCAATCAAACTGCCTTTTGCAATTGATCGACGGTGAATTTGTCAATGCTGGTACTGTTCAAATGTTCAGGTAACGAATTATGACGGCCCACTGCACCGTCAGCCAGATGTTCAGAGTGGAATTGGCATTGTTGTCCACCTATGGAGACCTTCCCAAGAACCTGGGATGGGCAGATGTGGCTGTTTGATGGGGTTGCAAATATTGTTGCAGGATGTAAGCCGCTGCTGATAAAGCTGCCTTTTGCAATTGACTGGTGATGAATTTGCCAATGATGATGGTGTTCAAGGGTTCAAATAATAAATTATAAATCAAATAATTCATTGTGCAGCCACTTCAGTTCAGACTGGATTTGGCATTTTTGTCCACCTTTGGAGTCATAGGCGGATGCTGTTGGAGGGCGTTAAGTTGCAGGATGTTAGGCTGTTCTAAATCAAACTCCCTTTTGCAATTGACCGACGTGGATTTGGTCAATGCTGAGGGTGTTCAAGTGATGCTTCAGATGTTTTCGGGTTGCACCAAAGGGGCTTATTCTTTGCTTTCTTTTGCCACTTTCCTGCCCGAGCAAGGGCTTGGAGGTCCCTTTCAAGTCTGTTGTTCTGCATACCGAGGCCAGGAAGCCAGTTGGAATCCTGCTGCCACTCCAGCTAATCATTGTTCATTTCTCACTCAACTCTGCGGCTCCGATCTCAGGAACACTAGTGTAGGCTCTCCTTTGAAATCTGCCAAATTTCTTTGCTGCTTTTTGGAAGCGTGTCATTTTGAAAAGGGAGAGGGGGTGTCTGCAAAATGTCGGGGTTTGCAGTGATTTAATTTCGTTTTTCTCTCTTCTCTTTGTTAAGAGGCCTAAAACATTTCCTCGGTGAAATGCAACTTTCACTTGACTTCATCTGGACCCACAGGGTTATTTATCTCTGCCTGCCTGCAGATTTAATCATCAGAACAGTTAGAAAGCAGGGTTCCTAAGGATTTTAACTCCTGGGTGATAACACTTAATCTCCTGCATTTATTGCGTTTGGACTGTACTTCCCTTCCATCTCACTTAGGCAAACAGTACGACTGAGAGACGGATTCGAAAACCTTCTAAAGAGGTTTTCCTCCCCTGAAGGAAGTTGACACTCTCCAAGAGCTGCTGTGATTTGATCTGCTTTTTCCTCTTCCAGAGGCCTCAAAGGAGACCCAGCCTCCTCCGTCCCAAACGTTCATGATCCCCAGGAAGGAAATCAACATGGTTCCTGACATGGCAAAGTGGAAGCGGTCTCAGGTAGGGGCAAAAAGCTTTGCTTGGCATCATTTGGCTCTGGCAGCTGATGCAGGAGCCTCAAAGCCACTTCCAGGCCTTAAAAGAGAGCAGTGACAATTGCGAAGGCTGTTCCCTGCAAGTAGAAAGCCAACCTCTCAGGGAGGAGTCCCTTGGTATAGAGGTAGTCCTCGACTTAAGACCACAATTGAGCCCCAAAGTTCTGCTGCCAACCAAGACACTGGTTAAGTGAGTTTTCCCCCATTTTGCAATCTTTCTCGCCTCAGTTGTTAAGTGAATCACTGCAGTTGTTCAGTTAGAAAGTGAATCTGGCTTCCACAAAAGGGAACGGGGGACACTGCAACTGTCATAAATATGAGCCTATTGCCAAGCGCCTGAATTTTGATCACGTGGCCATGGGGATGTTGCAGCGGTCCTAAGTATGAAAAATGGTCATAAGTCAGGTTTTTCAGTGCCGTTGTAACTTTGAATGGTCCCTCAATAAACTGTAGTAAGTTGAGGCCTACCTGTGTGGCTGGTTCTTACACGGGGTGAATGTGTGTGTTTTTAAACAGGCGTATGCGGACTACATGGGCTTCATTCTCACCTTGAACGAAGGAATCAAGGGAAAGAAGCTGACCAGCGAATATAAAGTCTCGGAGGTAGGCCTTGTTCCGGTCTCTCACAGAATCATCGGGCTAGAAGGGACCTTGGAGGTCTTCTAGTCCAACCCCCCTGCTCATGGGATGCCACCCCAGTCCAATGGTTTCCCGGTCTGTTTTTGAAAATCTCCAGTGATGGCGCACCCGGAACCAAATATCTTCACCACCAGGCCAAACCGCCTCCCGTTTCTTCCTTTCCTTGGAGGGAAAGAGAGAGGAAGGAAGGAGAGGGAGAAGGAAGGAGGGATTTCTACTTCCCCTTCCTTTGCTTGAAAGAGAGATTTGGAAGACCGTAAGGATCTCAGCTGCAGGCAGACTGAGCGGCCGCATCAGCAGGCAAACCAATCTCGGCTGCTAATCCAGGCACAGCAGAAATTGATTAAGGAGAAATCCAAGGCATCTGGGGTGCCCTGTCCCTGGGGGAGGCTGACGTCAGCCGTACCCTTCCCGTACGCTAATGACACCGAGGCAGCCGGGGCCTTCGGTGAAAGGGGGCTTTTGAACCGATTGAAACGGGAGACGGTTCAGAAACTGGTTGTGTTCGGGCTCCGAGCTTTGAACCAAGGTTAGGAGCAGAGCTGTGGCTGCAGGTGGAACCTTCTTTGAGGGCAAACGCTTCCCCCGTCCCGTTCCAGTTTTTGCAGGGTTAAACCTTTCTCCCTGCTGCCCATCACTTTCTCGCCGTGTGTCCCCCATCAGTGGACCGGTCGTTTTCTTGACTTTTTTTCTGGCTTTTACACGTTGAACAGAACGTTTAAAATTTACTTTCGACGTCGGTGGCAAGTCTTAGTTCACGCTGGTTCTGCTCAGTCGTGTTTTACCTCTGGTTTGCACGCCGTGCCCTGCAGCTGCGCTGGTTGAATTGCAGCCCCCTCCTTTCCCCGGCCTCCTTCCCATCACAGCTCATGCTTGAAGGGCTGGGAAAATTGGTGGGCTTGACAGTTTCCCGCCTGACATGGCAGACTGAGTGATGGTCGAACTTTGGCCCAAGGGCCTGGAGGATTTCTCACAAAGGAAGCCGCCTCTGGCAAAGTCAAGGGAACCGCTGCTATCTTTGTCCTCTCTCCTTCGCCGTCTTCTCTCTTCCCCACCTTTCCATGCTAGGGTTTTTTTTTCCCCCAAGGGCTTCTGTACGTTTAGAGGGGAAAGGTCCGGTGAATTAATTGAGCCTAGGATTTCAGTACATAAAGGGAAGGGAAGGAAGGAGGGAAGAGGGGAGGATTGAGGAAAGAGGAAGGAAGGAAAGTGACGGGGGGGGAGAAAAGAAAGAGAGGAAAGAAAGTGAGAAATGAAAGGAGGAGGATGAAAGGGAAAAGGAGAACGGGAAGAAAGAAAGGAAAAAGGGAAAGGAAGGGAAAACGGGAAGGGAACAGAAAGGAAAAAGATGAAAGGGAAAGAAGGAAGGGAGATGAGAAGGGGAAAACATGGAAAAGTGGGGGGAAGGAAACAGGGAAGATGGGAAGGAAGGAAGGAAGGAAGGAAGGAAGGAAGGAAGGAAATCCTCCTATCCTGACCTCCCAAACATGAATATTTGAGTTGCAGGCGATTGTCCTCCTTGCCGTTTTCCAAGACAACTTCCTTGGGTTTCATTTTCCACCCCCGGCTGCAGATCAATGTCTGCCTCCCATCCCCTGGGTTTTCCTCCATTCCCTCCTCCCCCTTTCAGATAATCCAATGTTGCAAATGAGAATTTAGGCAGAATTTATTCTGCAGTCCTCTGCACACTTTCCAGGGCCTCAGCATCTTTTTTTTTGTACTGTGGTGACCAAAATTGCACGCAGCCTTCCAAGCGTGGCCTCTCCGGCACCTTATAAAGCGGTAAACTTGGCAGAACAGGGTACGTTGTGTGAATTCCGTTTCAAGGCTTGCTAACCGCCGGCTGATAGGACAGCTGTACCTTCTTCCCAACAGCCCATCGAAAAGCTGGTCACACTCCTCAACACGCTGGATCGGTGGATCGATGAGACGCCCCCCGTGGATCAGCCTTCTCGCTTCGGGAACAAAGCTTTCCGGACGTGGTATGCAAAAGTGGACCAGGTAGGTTGGGAGGAAGGGCTGACAGAGACGGGGCAGGGGGTCCCATGGAGAGAGGGTCAGAAGTAAGCCTGCCTTTGCCAGTCAGTTTAGGCCGAAAAGACTCCCAGAGTTTTAAACTAGGACATTAGAGGCCATTTAGTCTAACCCGTAAAGTGCAAAACAAGGATTTTTTTTTAAAAAAAAATCTGATTTATTATTGCATGAGCTTATACTCCTGGATTTCCAGTCTCGTGGCCAGCTTACATTCTCTTAGGACAGGGGCCTCCAATCTTGACAACTTTAAGACTTGTGGACTTCAACTCCCAGAATTCTTCAACCGGCCACATGATCTCTTTCCCAGCCTCCGTTTCCCAGAAGCCTTAGCCACGGCCAAATAGCATGCTGGGGGCTGAAGTCCACATTTGAAGTCATTTGCTTGGGGTTGGCTTTCTGTCAATAATAATAGCTGGATGGGGGGATGGGGGGGCCCGCTCGGCTTGTAGATTTATTCTCCGGCCTGGATTTCAATGCTGGGGTCTCTAACTGCTCGATTGTGGCTAAATCTTAGGGGGCAGAGTCCTTGGTTGCCACTGTCGTCCCCAGACAGCAAGCTGAGGCTGTGCCCGAGGTGGCAGCGTACTTGAAAGAGTCTGTTGGCAATTCGACTCGCATCGACTATGGCACAGGTATCTGTTCGTTGATTTAAAGCATTTGTGTAGTCGCCCATCTTCTAAGCAGCTCCGGTTGGCTCCCAGGGATGAGGGGAGTGGGTGGGTGTCTGGCCTGGGAGGGCATCCCTTCAGCGGGGCAGATGGCTTCGTGGGCATTGAGTAATGGGGTCCTTGGCGCTCTCTGAACAGGGTGAGTTTCTTGCAGACATTTCATGACCCAGCTAGGTAACGGTGGGGATTAGGGAGAGGGAGGACTTTCTGTGCTCTCCAAGCATGGCAGTTTCCTTGCAGATGTTTCATTGCCAAGCATCCTCCCTGTTATCCAAAAGTTGAAAATAGCGCTCTTTTTAAACACTGAAAAAATGACCCGGGGAAGCGGAATTACATTTGAAAACTACAGGCGTGTGCCGAAGCCATAGGCCACAGCTAATCTGCCATAATCATAGTTAGAGATGATGGTGATGGGTGATTTAAGAAGATGGGCAGTTTCTGCCTTGCGTCTTGGAATGCCAGCCCCCGATTAAAACGGGCACAGCATGGCAAAATTAAATCAAGGGTTTGGGGGTTTTTTTGCCCGGTAGCCTCCAGCTCTGACTCTTAGAAAGTTGTGGGCGCTCCATCCCTGGAGGTTTTTAAGAAGAGGTTTGGGCAGCCATTTGCCCCAACGGTATAGAATCTCCTGCTCAGAACAGAGGGTTGGACTAGAAGGCCTCCAGGGTCCCCTCCCACTCGATTCTATTTTCTAAAGCACCCGAAGGCCAGACAAGGAATAATGGATGGAAACTGAACAAGGAGAGATTTAACCTGGAAATGAGGAGAAACTTAATGACAGTGAGAACCAATGGAACAGAAGTTGCCCTCGGAAGGTGTGGGAACGCCATCACTTGAGACTTTCAAGAAGAGATTGGATTGCCATCTTTTTGAAATGGTATAGGGTCTCCTCCTTGGGCAGGGGGTTGGACTAGATGACCTACAAGGTCCCTTCCAACTCTGATTGTCTGTCTGTCTGTCTGTTCCTCTGTTCTGCATTCTGTAAAGTTTCCCAGAAGAAACTCCACAAAACTGCTAATGCAACCTAGCAACATAACTTTAAAACAGCTACTGCTGCTGCTGAGCTGAAGAAGGAACTTTTGGAAAGCTAGTTGATCCTTTTTTTTAAAAAAAAAGCATGAAAAATTCAAGACTGCAGGACTGCCGGAGAACCTGCAGTAAAGCCGCAATCAGCCACCAGTCGGCACTGTCATCCTGGTTACCTTTAGCTCCAATTCCTGTTTTGTTCCTGGTAGTTCAGAACTGAACCTCAGTTTAGCTTGGAGGGATTAGGAACCCACTTGAGATATTCGCACATGAAAGTCACTTTTCCTTCTGCTGTGACTTTTTACAATAGCTCTTGCCCAGCCTAGTTTTCCTGAATGCAGAAGCAATTCAGTTCCAGCCAGCCTGACCCACAAACAGGATTGTGATTTTGTGTGACATCACAGCAGAGAGAGCTAAACCGAGGTTTAACTGCATTATGTGGAGGCTTTTTTGAGTTTTCTGGAAACATTAAATTGTACTCTGGGGCTCACAGGCCCAGATTAGCTCCATGTATTTGCACCCATGCAGAGGCTCCTTAAATATTCGGAATGTCTGTCTGTTTTAACTTTTTGTTACTAGCTTTCGAAAGTACATAATTAAAATACAAAATTACAACCTGAATGGGATGTAGTGAAAGTTTAAAGAGTGATCACAGGAATGAAACAAACGTAGAAAAGTAACATGAAAAAGTTACTTCCTGCCTTCTGGATGCAGTTATACAATAAAATAGGATCTGGCTGGGGAATTCTAGGAGTTGAAATCCACCCATCTTAAGGTTGCCGGGATTGAAAAACACACTGGTCACTTTCATGCAGACAGAGGGCAGAATTCCTGGGGAAAAACTGGAATTCCCAAAGCACCTTCTGTTTCAAAGAGTTTTGAAAGAGTTCCTACCTGAAGTGGCTGAGAGGTAGGGTCACTTTTTAAGCCTGGACGTTTTTTCTATTTTTTATATATTATTCATTTCAATCTCACCTTTGTTATTTTTACAAATAACTCAAGGTGCTGGACATACCTAATACTCCTTCCTCTTTCCTCCACAACAACCCTGTGAGATGGGCTCAGTTGAGAGAAAGGGACTGGCCCAAAGTCAGCCAGCCACCTTTCACGTCTAAGGCCAGACTCGAACTCACCGCCTCCTTGGTTTTGTAGCCTTAACCACTAGACCAAACTGTTCTTCCTCCTGGGCGTCTCCTTTCCCTCCCTAGGCCACGAAGCGGCCTTCGCTGCCTTCCTTTGCTGCCTCTGCAAAATCGGTGTCCTCCGGCTGGACGATCAGATGGCCATCGTCTTCAAGGTGTTCAACAGGTAAAGCCCACGCATCTCAAAGCCCCTGAAGTTGAGAACGCCGCTTTGGAGCAAGTTGTCAGGTAGCCGGGACCGTTTCATTTCCGCACACTCCCCCTTGGCTGGTTGTGCAAGGGGAGAGGCAGAAGATCTGAACAGAGAACCTAGAATAACAGGGATTTAAGGGGACCTTGGAGGTCTTCTAGTCCAACCCCCAGGCTCTGCCCGTGCTACGACGTTGATTGAGATCCCAAATCCCCAGATTCTCCTTCTGCTTCCAGTCATTCCATTATTCTTCCTGGTGGCTTGGGGTGTGTGTGTCTTTTCCATTGAGTTCATGTCGAGGCTTGTTTCATGGCCGCGTCGGAGAGTCAGCGGTCCAGTAGACTGGGATAATCAGAGGTTGAGTTGCTGCATAATCCTGACCCGTCCCATTTGATTTGGTTTCAGGTACTTAGAAGTGATGCGGAAACTCCAGAAAACCTATCGGATGGAGCCAGCTGGCAGTCAAGGGGTCTGGGGTCTGGATGACTTTCAGTTCCTCCCGTTCATTTGGGGAAGCTCTCAGTTGATTGGTAAGCGGGGATATTCTCTCTCTCTCTTTTTCTCTCCTTCTGTTCGTCTCTTTTTCTTTTCTTTTTTTTCTTTCTCTCTTTCTTTCTCTTACTCCTTTTCTCTTTCTATCTCTCTCTGTATCTTTTTCTTTCTCTTCTTTGTCTCTCTCCTTCTCTCCTGTTCTCTCTCTTCTTTTTCTTCTCTTCTTTTCTCTTTCTCTTTTTCCTTTTTTCTCTTTCTGTCTCTCTGTATCTTTTTCTTTTTCTTCTTTTCTTTGTCTCTCTCTCTCTCTCTTTTTCTCTCCTGTTCGTCTCTCTCTTTTCTCTTCTTTCTCTTTTTATCTCTTCTTTCTCTCTTTCTCCCCTTTTCTCTTTCTGTCTCTCTCTGTTTTTTTCTTCTTTTCTTTGTCTGTCTCTCTCTCTCTTTTTCTTCTTTCTTTTTCTTCCTCTTTGGGAAAAATTATGTTTTTTGCTGCCATTTCTTTTAAAGAGGCTATAAAGGGTATTTATTTACTATCAGTCCCCGCAGTTTTCTTGGCAAGATTTCTGGAGTGGCTTGTCACTGCTTCTTAGGGCTGAGAGAGAGGGACTGGCTCAGGGTCCTCAAGTTACTGTGTAACTGTTAGGTAAACCTGGAAGTTTAGAAAACAGGATTGCCAGAGAAATGTGGACTGTGGGCTCCAAGGAGCGGAAAGCAGAGGCTTGAAAGATTTACACCCCCGGCTATCATATCAACAGGATTTCTGCCTTCTCCAGTAGGCAGGTTCCCTCCATACAGGTGGTCCTTGACTTACAACCACAACTGAGCCCAAAGTTTCCATCGCAAAGCAAGACAGTCGTTAACTTGAGTTCAGCTCCATTTTACAACCGTTCTCAGCACGGTTGTTAAGTGTCACTGTTAGTTAACAGAGTCGTTAAGTGAATTTGGCTTCTGCAGTGACTTTGCTTGTCCTGGACGGTCACAAAAGGAGATTCCCTGACCCCAGGACGCTGCAACCGTCATAACTACATGCCAGTTGCCGAGCACCCTGGGGACGCTGCCAATGGTCTGAAGTGAAAAAACAGGCGCTTTTTTTGCTGCGCTAAACGAATGGTTCTAAGTCAAGGGTTGCCTGTATCGAAAAGAGGATAATTTTTTTTCCCCCCTCCGCCGTCAAGCAAGGTCTCCGGCCCCGTTCAGCTCTTCAGGGCCCGTTTTGAAGAGCCGAGGGGCGTTGCCAGGCTCCGGGGGTCGATCCCCCAGCCGCTCTGAAAAGATCCTCTCTTTAGATCACCCCAACCTGGAACCTCGGCACTTTGTGGACGAGAAGGTGGTGAACGAGCACCACAAGGACTACATGTTCCTCGAATGCATCCGGTTCATCACAGAGGTGAGGCTGGAATATTTTTTGCCTTCCTTGCTGCAACCATCACATGTACGTGTCAGTTGCCAAGCGTCCGAATTTCGATCATGTGACCACAGGGGAGGCTGCAACAATCATGCGCGTGGAAAACGGTCGCTTTTTTCACTGCCGTTGTGACGGACACTGCATGGCTGTAAGCCAAGGACCAGCCGGTAGTTTTGTATCCTGGAAGGAGGCCCAATTTTTGCAGCCACCTCAAAGAAGCCCGTTAAAAGCTTGGAAACAGTTGTGGACTGGACGCCAATTGTGTTCTTGCAGCTCCACCTAGTGCTCTCTTGATTTTATGGGGAAAAAAAAAAAAGATTTGACTTTTGCAAGAGCCCCACTTTTTATTCTTATAACCGGGGTTTGGCCTTGTCTGCGTTGCCTAAGAGGGCGGGACAGCAGGCACTCAATTTACAGCTTACTTACGACTGCTCGTTTAGTGACCATTCAACGTTTAGGACGGCACTGGAAATAACGACTGGGCTGTTTTTCACGCTCGTGATGGTTGCAGCATCCCTACTGTCCCGTGGTCAAAATTCAGGCGCTTGGCAACTGGCTGGTCTTTGTGGCGGATGCCGTAGGGCCCAGGGTCACGTGCCAGCGCAATATTGGCCCCCTAGGGGCAGAACAGTGGAACTACAGCGCCCACAGCATGGCCGAAGGGGAGTTTTGTTTTTCTGCTCCGAATCTCAGCCGAAGGGAGGATGGATCTGAAGGGGAGGAGAAGGGTGATGTCATGGTATGTGGGGGTGTGGCCTTTGGAGATGTGGGCGCCTAGGGGGACGGTCAGATAAGGGAGCGCATAGCCCACAGCTGCATAATGGGTGGGGCAGATCGCAAATTCCAGCAGATTTACCCAATAAGGAAACTCTCGTTGGATGGACAACAGATGTCTTCTACTGGACAAAGCTGCTAGCCAAGAAACTTCTCGCTCTCCTTCTAGTTTCCGCCATGATGGCCAGTAGGGTGGGCATCTGGACCAAGGCCTTTTTTTTTCTTCTAATAATTGAACCTAGGAACGGACATGGTAGTTGTCTTCCAGTACTTGAGGGGCTGTGACAGAGAAGGGGTGGGGGTCAAATCCAAAGCCCCTGAAAGCCCCGGAGAAGAAGCAACGGATGGAAACTGAATCAAGGAGAGATCCAATCTAGAACTAAGCAGGAATTGCCTGACAGTTAGAACAATTAATCCGTGGAACAGTTTGCTTCTAGATGCTGTGGATGCTCCAACACTGGAAGTTTTTAAAAAGACGTTGGATAACCATTTGTCTGAAGTGGTGTAGGAGGTAGACTAGAAGACCTCCAAGGTCCCTTCCAGCCCTGGGATTCTATGTTCTACGACCCCATTTCAGGCCTTCCGTAGAACAGGGCAGCTTTGCCGTTTGGAGATCCCTGAAAGAGGGACAGGAGTCCCCTCAGGGTGGGGGCCATGACAGTCCACCCACAGCCTCCCTTGTTTCTCTCTACCCCACCCCCCCACCCCCCCCTCTAGCGTAGCCCTTCGGTTCCCAGGCAGCCTCCTTCCTTCCCGCCCCCGGCTTTGTTCCTTTGTTCAGCGAGAGCATCTCCCTGTCTCTTGTGGGGTCCCCTCTGGCCTCATTTCCAAACCAGGCCTCCACGACCCCCCTCTCCCCCCCCCCCCGGGTGCGGGTTGGGGTGGGGGAGGTCAGTGAACAGGCCCAAATCTTGGGCCAGAAGTCGATTTGCCTTCCCACTCACAAATTCCACGCCTGAAAAAAAAAAAAAAAAAAAGCAGGAAGAAGGGTTTAGCGTTCCTGCCTTTTTTTCCCCTCCCTGAGTCCCAAACATGCAATGCAAAGATTATTGTTGTTGTTGTTGTTGTTGTCGTCCTCTTCGCCCCCTTTGTCAACACCCCGCCCCCCTCTCCCCACTTTCAATTTTGCAGGTAGGACAGGCGGCCGAATCATTTTTTACAAGCCGGTAAATAAATCCAGCTCCTCAATTTGGGGAACTTTTATGAAGGGCTAACTCCCGATTTCAGAGCAGCGGAATAATTGAATACTCCTTTTTATGACAGAACAATTTAATAATTTAAATAAAGAGGGGGCTGGGAAGGGGAGCGTAGAGGAAAAATAAAACATTTTAAAAAGCTTTGCATAGCGTGTTTGGCTTGATGGGAGGGGGAGGCAGGAATGCGAAGCCCTTCCTGGCTGGAAGGGAAGCCGTGGAAAGGAAGGTGCTGGGCTCAGCTGCCTTCCCGCCCCCCCCCCCCTTTTCCCCCCCCCCCTCCCCCCCCCCCTTTTAATTTTTTTTTCAACTGACAGAGGAACCATTTACAAAAGGCCGATTCTCTTGGGAACAGAGAGGCAGGAACGCAGCGTCTGTGAGTAATTTCCTGCTCAATATGGTTACCCTGACTCATTCTGTTCCCTTGGGGTCACTGCGGGACTCTCTCTCTTTCTCTCTCTCTCTCTCTCTTTCCATCCTTCTCTCTCCCCAGCTCGTTCGTTTCTTTGTGGCTGGAATCAGCTACGGCTCCTTTCTTTCTACCTCTCTCTCTCTCTCTCTCTCTCTTTTTTCCCCTGCCTCTCTTTGCTTTTTCGCCCCCTTCTTCTTCTTCTTCTTCTTCTTCTTTTTCTAAAACTCCACCACTTCATCCCCAGTCTCCGCTCTCCAGCAGATGTCCCTTTGGCACCGCGGTGATGCCCACCTGCCTGGGCGGAGTGGAGTTTCAGGGTGCCAAGCTCTGGTTTCCTAACCGAGGCTGCGCGAAAGGTCATCCCTTCGGAACGCAAACGCAAACCGCCATCTGCCCCCAAGCCACAGCGACAACACAGTTTGTGTTGTGGGTCATTGGCCGGGAAGGGGCAGGCGAGAGAGGCTTCGCTAGTCTGGGCCACAGGGCCCTTTTCTGCAAGCGCTGAATGATTTTGGAAAGTTTATCTGTTTCATTTCTTTTTTTTTTTTTAAAAAGATACTGTTTCTGTTGAAGTTGATCATCGTTTAAAATGCAAAACACCAGGTAAAAATAATAAAGCGAAGGAAGGAAGGAAGGAAGGAAGGAAGGAAGGAAGGAAGGAAGGAAGGAAGGAAGGAAGGAATTTCCTCACAATGAGTGGAATAGCTTCCCTCCAGAAGTCGTGGGTCCTCCATCACTGGAGGTTTTCAAGAAGAGATTGGATAACCATTTGTCTGAAATGTCATAGGGTCTCCTGCTTGAGCAGCGGGGTGGACTAGAAGATCTCCAAGGTCCCTTCCAGCTCTTTTATTCTGTATTTCTAAAATGCAAAGGAAGGTGGTAGAAAAATTGGAGAAGACAATTTTCCGTGCAAAATAAAATTACAACCTCAGCGGTTTACGTTTTTAAACGTAAAAAAGTATGTTTGGTGAAATGCTCACAATTTCTTAGATCAGCCAACTAATCCAATTGGCAAAACCCAAAATCAGATTTTTCACATATTTTTTCACCCCCTGTTTCGAGCGCAAAAGCCCGGATGCCGTTTCCAAAGAGAAACAAAACTGGACTACTTTCCTCTTTAAATTAAAAGAGCTGCTCTCTCCACCCCTGCTACATCCTTCACGTTTTTGGGTCTCCTTCCTGCACCCTATTTTCAGCACAAAACACGCCCTCCGCTGTGCGTCCAGTTTTTACCCTGCTCCTTAGGCGAGAGGCCGGCAGGCAAATTTAGGAAGGGGTGAAAAAGACAAGGAGAGATCACTTTGGACCCCCACCCCACCCCCATTAAAGAGGGACAACAATCCAATAAACAAATAAAAATATCGATCAGCCCAACCCATCGGTTCGCTCTGGGTAAGACTTAAAAACTTCTGACCAACTTTGCCCGGGGGAGGGGGACCTGGGGGAGGAGAGGGGGGGGCTGGCTGACTAAGGCAGCCTGGATGAGTCACCGCTACAGTTCCCTTTGGAGGATCTGGCTGGGCATGACTAAGAAGGCTCACGCTGCCTCTGGCCTTTCTTCCAATTGGGGCCTCCCCCCCCCCCCCCCCCTCCCCTGCTTTGGTTCCCATCCTCGGGTGAAGGCCGCTGAAATTCAGCCTCGCCTTCCGCGTCGCAAAGGTGAGCGCTCACCTGTTTGCCGGTGGAAATATGAGGATGTAGGACGGCTTGCCTCCCATCACCTGGAGGTTTTCAAGAAGAGAGATTGGATAACCATTTGTCTGAAATGTCGTGGGGTTTCATGGAGCTAGGCTAGAAGACCTCTTAAGGTCCCTTCCCAGCTCTGTCATTCTGAGAAGGTGGCCTTCCAAGAAGTGCAGTTGCTCCTTTTTAAAGAATGTATGTATGTATGTATGTATAAAATCTCCTTGAAGCCGTACGTTACTTCAAAATATGAACCTTTCCTGCCTATCTTTATCTTCCCCACTTAGAGATAGAATTAGAATTAGAATTAGAATTAGAATTAGAATTAGAATTAGAATAGAATAGAATAGAATAGAATAGAATAGAATAGAATAGAATAGAATAGAATAGAATAGAATTCTTTCTTGGCCAAGTGTGATTGGACACACAAGGAATTTGTCTTGGTGCAAATGCTCTCAATATACGTAGAAGAAAAGATACATTCGTCAAGAATCATCAGGTACAACACTTAATGATAGTCATAGGGTACAATAAGCAAATCATACTAGGAAACAGTCGATATAAATCATAAGGATACAAGCGACAAAGTTACAGTCATACTGTCACAAGTGGGAGGGGATGGGCAATAAGGAGTTATGAGAAGTTTAATAGTAATAGTAGTGCAGACTTTGTAAATAGTTGGGCAGTGTTGTGGGAATTATTTGATGGCGTTCGGGAAAAAATTCCCCTTGTGTCTAGTTGTTCTGGTGTGCAGTGCTCTATAGCGTCGTTTTGAGGGAAGGAGTTGAAACAGTTTGTGTCCGGGATGTGAGGGGTCTGTAGATATTTTCACAGCCCTCTTTTTGACTCGTGCAGGATACAGGTCCTCTGTGGAAGGCAGGTTGGTAGCTATTGTTTTTTCTGCAGTCCTAATTACTCTCTGGAGTCTGTGTCTGTCCTGTTGGGTTGCAGAGCCAAACCAGATAGTTACAGAGGTGCAGATGACAGACTCCGTCATTCCTCTGTAGAACTGGATCAGCAGCTCCTTTTGGGCAGTTTTGAGCTTCCTGAGTTGGCACAGAAAGAACATTCTTTGTTGGGCTTTTTTGATAATGTTTTTGAGGTTAGGTGTCCTTTTTGACTGGGAAGTCTTATAGCTCTCACCTTTACAAATTGGAAATGGGATGCCACCCCACCTTCCCTCCCGGGCTCCTTTTGAAGCTGCTACCTGGCCCATGGTCCACGGCTGGCACAGCTGTGCGGCTGTCCTGCTCAGGTTGACGGAACCGTAACTGCGATGCTTCCTGAGATGCATGGTGGTTGATGGCGGTACAAAGCGGTGTGGTCCTCAACAACAATGGAGCCCAGAATTTCTGTGGCTAAGCAAATGTCTGTTAAGTGAGGCTGGCCCCATTTTATGGCCTTTCTCGCCGCGGCCACTAAGCGAGTGACGGCAGTTGTTAAATTGGTCCCACGTTTGTTGAGTGAATCTGGTCGCCTGGCAACTGGTTCAGTTTTATGACGCTCGCAGTCTGCTGGGGCGAGGGGGTTTGGGGGGGGTTGTTCCTTCTGACAAGCCAAGTGAACGGGGAAGCCAGGTTCACTTAACAACCGTGTGACTCACTTAACAACTGCGGTGGTTCACTTAACAAACGTGGCGAGAAAAGCCACAAAATGGGGGCAAAACTCACTTCACGTAGCCACATAAATCCTGGCCCAAAGGTCACCAATCTGCATTCCCCACCCCTTGAGGACTAGGAGCTTGAAAAGCAGGCATGGGAGATTCCTCATCCCCCACCCCCCCCAAAAAACCCCAACCACACTTCATGTTCCTTCCTTCCTTCCTCCTCCTCCTCGCTTTCTTTCAACCCACAGCCTTTTCCATGAGCTGATTGCCCAAATACCGGGGGGGGGGGGAACCCAATATTTTTTTTCCTTTCCCCACCCCAAATTTGTGCTCATGCTCCAGACCTCCCCCCCACACCCCCAAACCCTTGTGGGTTTAGCAAGGAGAAACCAGTAGTCCTTTTCTTTGCTCTTGAGGATGGAGGCGAGGGACTTTTTGCAGCTGTTGGGGGGCAGAAATGAAATCCGGGCCTTGTTACAAAAAGGGTGGAGAAAGGGAGGCTGACCATAGGGGGGGGGGGGAAAGGGGGGGAGGAGGAGAAGGAGGCTGATCCCCTATTTTTTCCTCCCTCCACCCCCCCACCCCTCGTGTTGCCAATCTTCTCCCCAAAATACCTTTGCACTGAGTGTAGTGATTTTCGGTGCATTTAAAACGCAATCTCCCCCGACCCCCCCTTCTACCACCCATTTTAAATTCCCCCCTCCTTCTCCTCTTCTCCCCCCCTCCCCAATTGTTTTTGGCATGGGGGGGGCGGGGTTGTTGCAGTCTGAATGTTCTGTGTGCTTTAGGTCTGGAGAGAGGAGGAGGAGGAGGAGGAGGAGGAGGAAGTGAGTTATTTTAAAATCCGCATCCTGCAAAGGTCTGTTGACTTCCCAGGCTAGCTTTTCAGCTGGCGCTGCAGCTCTTGTGGTGGATGATGTCATGGAAACTTCCCTCCCGGCAAGTTGAGTTGCATTCCCTCCCAGCCTTCTCTTCCTTCTCTCTCTCTCTCTCTCTCTCTCTCTCTCTCCACCCCCCCCAACCCCCCCAGACAGAGCCAGCTTTCTTCTCAAGGGTGTGCCCCAGAATCGTATCCAGGAAAAGTAACTCGGCTGCTTATTTTTCGCCTCCACACACAACTTCCCGCGCCTCTCGCTTGCGAGTTCACCCGACTCTTTTCTTGCAAAAGGGTTTCAGGCAACGAGGAAGGCTGGAATTAGAAAAAAGTGGGGTGTGTGCGGCCTTTTTTTGGGGGGGGGTTGTCCCGTCTCCCCCGCAGATTGCTGGAGAAATCAGATCAGGGCGTCTCCGCCTTCCCAAAACCGCTCTGATGCCCAGCCAGCCGGCAGAACCGGTCTTTTGGCCTCGTGGGCAGGGTTGGGCTGGGTGCAGATTGGCAGGCAGGAAATAAATCAGAGAAAGGCAGAGTCGGGAGGGGCCTTGGAGGTCTTCTAGTCCAACCCCCTGCTCAAGGCAGGAGACCCCATACAATTCCAGACAAATGACTGTCCAACCTCTTCATGAAAAGCTCCAGTGTTGGAGCTCCCACAGCTTCGTTCCTCTGATTAATTGTTCTCACTGTGTGGAAATTTCTCCTTCATTCCAAGTTGCTTCTCTCCTTGATTAGTTTCCACCCGTTTTACTTCTTGTCCTGCCCTCCAGTTATGGTCATAAGTCGAGGATTAACTCTTAGGTTTTGGTTCACTGCGTTGTGTAGGCCTCTCCACTTGGGATAAACAGGATTAAGTTTAGGCCGACCAGCAGGTACTGTAATTTTGTTCTGAATTTCAGGCTCTCTGTTTCTCCCAACAGTTTCTCCTCGGCGCTTTCAAAGAAGCCCACATGTGCCAACAGTGCGCAGCCACAGCAAAATGGAAAAACGCCATTAGGCATTTAAATGTTCTCCTCTCCAGATATGCCTAATAGAATTTGAGGGGGACCACGTGTGTGGTTTTTTTTTTTTTTACACCGCTGGTTACCACCGTGGGCTCTAGGTTGTTGTGGGGATGTGGCTCAAGATTACCCCGGGTTCCTTTTGCCTTCCAGATGAAGACGGGCCCCTTCCCTGAGCACTCCAACCAGCTGTGGAACATCAGCGCCGTCCCTTCGTGGTCCAAAGTCAACCAGGGGCTCATCCGGATGTACAAAGCCGAGGTGAGGAAAGGCAGAGGAAGGAGGGGGACCAGACCTCTCCATCCAGATGTCCTAGTTTGGGGTCAAACATCTGTCCGACCTTGAGGCTATAGTGAGTGGGTTAGGCTGTCCATGAATGTGAAGAGCTGGTATTTATCCGGTCACTTTGGACCTTCCGTGAAAGCCCAGAGAGAAATAATTTGGTCTGGTGGTGAGGGTACCGCGATAGGAAGTGGGAGACAGGGAGTTCTGGTCCCACCTCGGCCCTGAAAGGTGCGACTGTTAGGCCAATAGCCAGGAGACCGTGTATTCTAGTCCTGCTTTTAGCCCACCGGGTGATTGGGGGCCAGTTTACCCTCAGGCCTGGGGGTCCTGTATTTTTGCCTGGTGAATCCAGACCACGACGGATGCCGATGTCAAACTCCTGTCCCTCTTCCGTTTCTTTTCCCCGCTTTTCTAGTGCCTGGAGAAGTTCCCCGTCATTCAGCACTTCAAATTCGGCAGCCTGCTTCCTATCCAGCCTGTCGCACCTTAAGGAGCTCTGTTGGTGATGGGACCGCGGAAGGGGGGGGGGAGAGCCCTGGAGAACTGGGGGGGGGGGAAGGCCCCCCTTCCTAGTCACCCCAAACCACCGCTGGCCTTGATGCTCCTTCCTTTCGGCAGGATCCTGGCAGGACATAACTGTCCAAGAAGACCCTGGCATTGGCCCCAAAAAAACCAAAACAAACAAAAACAAAAAGGCAAGAGGTGGACTTGACTCCGGCCACACGATGGTCCCCTCTTCTGCACCCCATTTTTGTTTGCCCCAGGGTGGTTGGTGCTCTTAAGGTGGGGGGTGGGGAGGTTTGCCTCTCTGAACTGTGCTGTATATTTTGCTGGGGAAATACACCTGCTTTAACCTTAGAGACAAGCTGGACGTGCTGGCATTCTTCCCAAGGCTCCCTTCCCAATCCTTCCACTTCTTGGCCCTGATCCCTTTCGACAAAGATCTCCAAACCTGGCCACTTTAAGACTTTTGGACTTCAACTCCCAGAATTCCCCAGCCGGCGTGTGTTGCCTCCACTTGGGGAAACCACGTTTGAAGGGTTCAGGACAGACAAAGGGCAAATTCAGAGAAAAGCAGCAAAAAAAAGCATTATCTCTTGGTAGGATACATCAAGAAAAGGTTACAGATTTAGAGTCCCAGATTCTGCTCAGCGCCTGGTGAAATTGACTAGACAGGAAGGTGAAATTGACTAACTCCTTTGTAAGATCTAGTTCTGGAAATTGACCTTGGGCTCGGTTTCAATTCGGCAGGGGTCCTAGATCTGGTGCAATCTGCTTTTCCTTGAATTTTGCTTCTTCCCCGTCACGATTTGCAAAAATAACCCACATCTAAATAAGAGAACGGTGGTTAGACGCGAAGCCTCTTTGCGGGGCAGAAAACGGACAAAACGGGAAACAGCTAAAACGGAAATATCTATGCTGGCTGGGGATCTCTGGGAGTTGAAATCCATACACCTTAAAATTGAGAAACGCTGGATTGAAGTTAACAAGGTTTTGCCAACTAAAACCACAGGATCTGCGTACACAGAGCACCCCTAACAGATCAGGGGAAGACGGTCGCACTCGCACCAAAACCTAAAGCACGCAGGCGAGGGAGTTCTGGGAAGTGACATCCACGCATCTTTTAAAAACCCACCAAGATTGAGAAACCCTGCTCCACACAATGGCAGCCTCTGAGTTGGATGAGAAGGGGCATCTGGTAAGCTTGATCTGTGGCCAGAGCAGCTCCTACTCTCCATCCCACCTGGAGGAACCCAAGAGCAACTCTGTGCGTTGAGAGATTGGCTAAGATTTTTCCTTTTTTCACGTGGACCAGAGAGTTCTAGATCTCCACACAAAGGAAGGGCGAAACGCTGCACCCCAACACCAATTTTAATATTGTCCATCACTTTTGCCCACACCTTGAAAACTTTTTGGTAAAAAAACAGCCCCCACCCACCCACCCACCCGAAAAAAATCCCAAAACACAACTCCATGAAAGTATTCCTGATTTGTTTATTTTTCTTTCGGATCAAGTTTAAAAAAAAATTTTTTTTTTTAAGATCTCTCAGTTGAAGTTTATGGGGAGTATATTACCTGCGCCTCCCCCACCCTCCAAGTGATTTGAAAGAGGGGATCCGCAATTTCTGCTACAGCCTCCAATTCTAAGTCAACCAGTTCTGTAGGTTTATTTATTTTTATGTTTCTTTTTCTGGCTCCTTGCAAAAACTTGTCAACCTTGTTTCTCCAAAATGTGGGGAGGGGGAATTACAAGAAACTGCTTTGCCAGTTGATTCCGTTTTAAAGGAAACCCCTCCCCCGCTTTTTCCCCCCTTTTAAAAAAATTTCCAGCCTGAGGCTGATTTGAGAAGGGAAGGTGGTCACTTGAAAGGGCAATTTTCTAGTAAGTAGTGGATTCCAACCGCTGATCCCTTTGAGGGATCCTCGGTGTTCTCTTGAGCGTGGTGGTTTTCTTGCAGACGTTTCACGACCCAGCTAAGTAATGTCATCAGTTCTAGGAGAGAGTGGGGTTTTCAGAGAGGAGGAGGAGGAGGAAGAAGAAGACAATGACCACTGTGGGGTCCTTGGTGCTCTCTCATCTTAGTGGCTTTCTTGTAAAAGTTTCGTTACCCAACTAAGTAACATCATCAGTGCTAGAAGCAAACCCCACTCCTTTATTTCCACTGATGATGTAACCTAGTTGGGTGATGAAACGTCCGCAAGGAGAGAGAAAAAGAACCCAGCACAGAGAACACCCCTCCTGAGCTACACATATTCTCCTCTTTATTACCTGGTCTCTTTTCCAAGCTTTCCCATGGTCTACTCTACACCAAGAAGTCCAGGCCTCTTGCAGTTGCACTCGGAATGGCTGCACAAGACAAACCCAACTTGCCTTTTGAAACTGTGATCAAAGCAAGCGGCAGCTTCAGCTTGCAGATGGGGGAGGGATGGGGGATGGGATTTTTGCAAACCCTGCATGTATCTACTCAGCCCCCAGGGAGGAGACACCCCCTCCCCTCTCCCCCCTCCCCCTCCAAACGGCCGTCTTCCCTCCCCCCCCCCCCCCCCCCGCTAAACACCAAGGAGTGAGGTCGTCGGCGCCGGGAGAGCTGTACCTTCAATTAAATAGGATTGGCCTTTTTCTCTGCGTGACATAGCTTTTATTTAACCCCAGATATTATTCAGGGCCCACCTGCGCGTTCCTTCGGCTGGATGGTCAAGAGGCTTTCGAACCACCTCTTCTTAGATTCGATAGGATAGTAGTTTAGCTTAAGAGGTCTCCAAACCTGGCAACTTTTAAGACTTGTGGGCTTCCACTCCCAGAATTCCCCAGCGTTTTTCTTCAGGCATATCAGCCCACACGCCGGCTGGGGAATTCTGGGAGTGGAAGTCCACAAGTCTTAAAAGTCCCGGAGAGCCCTGGACCAGAATGTGGTGGGAATTCAGTTGGACGTCTTTTAGCCCGTCTATCTGACCTGTAGCTCTCTGCACACCGTGCCCGTGTCTGGAACGGTCAATCCTGGGCCTTTGAACCTGTTCTCCGGTTCTCTTCGCGTGGTGGTTGGAATCAAACCTGTTGAATTTTAACGAGTTGCCGGCGTTTTGTTCAGGATCCGACCTGATATGTTTGTTGAGCTTTTCTCAAGGATTTGGGTTGAAGGCAAACTATCTCGACTCTTTTGGCTTGCGAGTACAAGCGATTCCCCCATTTAACGATCAGAATTTCCGTGGCCAAGGGCCGTTAAGTGAGCCCCGCCCAGTTTTACAACCTGGTTTTTTTTTTGCCATCGTTCTTAAGCGAGTCATGTGGTCGTTAAACAAACCCGGCTTTCCGCGTTGACTGTGCTCGTCACAAACCGGCTGGGAAGGTTACAGGGCTCAGTCTCCCTGACCGTGGGGACGCTGGTTTCGGTTCGCTAGACTGTGGGGATGTTGTACGTGTGAGGACCAGGTCGTAAATCCCTCCCAACGGGTTGCTCAGTGGTTGTAAGTTGAGGACCTCCAGTAGGTTGCTGTTTTCTGGGATTTCCAGATGGCAAACTTGGATCTCTTGAGCAACAAAAAATAATCATCCGGCGATGGTTCGTTGGCCCGAGACCAAATCAGCAGACTGAATTCCTGACCGAATAGCATTTCGAAAGAGCTCCTTAAGACCATCCGATCTGTTTATCTACTGCTTGGATTACCTCCCCCTCTGTATCTTAACACCCATCCACCCCCTGAATGTTTCTAGGGAGAGAAAGCAGATCCCAGGTCCTCTGCGTTTCCCTTGTTTTCCCCTTTCTAAGAACTTTTTAATTCTGGGGCATGCAGCTTCGTACGGGCCAGAGGCGGAAGTAAATTACCATTCAGGCCAGGTGCCGGATCAGTGAAATTACATAGTTAATAGAAGGGCCTTCCTGTGCTTTTCCCCAACTCACCTGTCCGGGTAATGAGAGTAAAATAAGACAACTGAACAATGGGATGACGATGGTGATGGTGGTAATCATATGTTTTTGGGGAGATCAGGGTGGCACCCATTCCTGAGAAGCTCGTTCTTCTCCCCCAGGATCTGGGGAAGAACTCACCGGGACGGGGTGCGTTTAAGCTTTGAGGGAGGCCACTCTGGAGAAGGTTTGAGTTGTCTTCAAATTCCGAAAAAAGGTGTTGCCTAGGAGAAGGTTACAGCCTGCAAAGCACCCGAGGGGGATGCCTGCCTTGGTAGCATTACTTGCAAAGACGTGCTTGGAACACAGGTAGTCCTTGACTTACGGCCATTCGTTTAGTGGCCATTCGAAGTTACAACGGCACTGAAAAAAAAAGGGACTTGAGGGCCATTTTTCATTGGTCATGTGAATAAAATTCAAACGCTCGGCAACTGGCATGTACTTAGGACGGTTGCACCGTCCAGGGGAGGGAGTGGGGGCACGTGATCCGCTTTTGTGACCTTCTGACACATCAAAGACAATGGGAGAATCCAGGTTCAACTTAACAACAGCAAGGGATTCACTTAACAACGGTGGCAAGAAAGGTCGTGAAATGGGGCTAAATTCACTTCAGTGTTTCACTTAGCAACAGAAATGTTGGGCTCTGAGGTGGTCGTAAGTCAAGGACTCCCTGCTAGCCTACATCAAGAAAAGATTATAGGCTTAGAATCCCAGATTCTGCTGGACGGCTGGTGAAGTTTGATTAGACAGGAAAGTGAAATGGACTTGCTCTCTTCTTGCTCTCCGTAAGATCGAGTTGTGAGATTCACTTAAAGAAGGGGCTCTATTAAATCCTGAGCGATCTGCTTTTCCTCGAGTTTTGTGTCTTCCAGGAAAAATATTGGGCAAAAGGGAGGGAAAGGCATTTGCTTAAAAGCAAGCATGTAACGCACGTCTAAATTGGAAGGTGATGATTAGAAGCGAAGCCTCTTTGCGGGCAGGAAATGGACACGACTGGAAACGGGGGCTGATATGGAGAATTCTGGGAGTTGAAATCCACACATCTCAAAAGTTCCTGGTATCTAGAAACCCTGAATAAGAAATTAGCCAGGATTTGCTAAGTAAAACCATAGGAATAGTGTTGCAACACCCCTAACCAGAACAAGGGAAGACAACTGCATTCACACAAAACTTGAAGCTTCTTTAGCATCAACCTTGGTTAGTTTTCCGTGGCTTAACATTGGGCGAGTTTGATGGTTCCGGATACTTGACAATCCTTGCTGCCTCCCCCAGACTAATTCAGCACCGTAATTAGAACATTCCCAACAAATTCTGCTTTTAGATTTGCCAAAGAGTCTTGAGACTTTATGCAAAGACTTCCTGCAGGAAATCAGTCCGGAAAATACATTCTGGTAATTGATTTCCAGGATTTCTTTCCATCCCAGAGGGGATTGCAGGAATTTCAGCTTGAGGAGTCTCTCGTGGTCCTTAAGGATCATCAAACAGGTGACAGGAACTTTTTTTTTTTTTAAAGAGATATAAGCACTCCGAGCAGATAATATAAAAGCTGGTTGAAAACTGAGCCCGAGCAATTTCTTTACTGACATCCTGCCACAAGCGCCAGCTTTTAAAATAGCTCTGCTATTAACATCACTAAGTGGATAAAATGAAGCTGGGCCGGAATCATGATGGATTTTGGGGGGCTTCTGTTTGTGTCTTCTACTCCCACATTGTTTCAAATAAGGGGAGATCAAAAGGACACAATCCTGCATCCACTTCAGCTCACCACAATACGAAAGAAAAAAAATTGAGACTATCGAAAGAGTGCAGAGAAGAGCAACCAAGATGATTAATAGGCTGGAGATGAAAACATATAAAGAACGGTTGCAAGAACTGGACATAGCTAGTCTAGTGAAGAGAAGGACCAGGGGAGACAGGAGAGCAGTCTTTCAGTATTTGAGGGGCTGCCACAGAGAGGAGGAAGGGGGTCAAGCTATTCTCCAAGGCACCCGAAGGCCAGACAAGGAACAATGGACGGAAACTGAACAAGGAGAGATTTAATCTGGGAATAAGGAGAAACTTTCTGACAGTGAGAACAATCTACCCATGGAACAGAAGTTGCCCTCGGAAGTTGTGGGAACTTCATCGCTTGAGACTTTCAAGAAGAGATTGGACTGCCATTTGTCAGAAATGGTGTAGGGTCTCTCCGGGGTGGGTGGGGGTTGGATTAGATGACCTAAAAGGTCCCTTCCAACTCTGATTATCTGTTATCTGTTATTTATCTCTTCTTAAAAACTTCCAGTGTTGGGGCAATCACAACCACTGGTTAATTGTTCTAAATGTCAATATATATTTTTTTAGTTCTAGATTGCTCTTCCAATATTTGAGGGGCTGCTACAAGGAAGGGGGAGGGGTCAACGTATTCTGCAAAGCACCCAAAGTCAGGACAAGAAGCAACGGATGGAAACCAATCAAGACGAGAAGCAACCTAGAACTAAGGAGGAATTTCCTGACAGGACAATCAGTCAGTGGAATGGCTTGCCTTCTGATGTTGTGTATGCTCCAACATTGGAGATTTTCAAGAAGATAC